AAAATTTTTAACGATTAAACTTTATTAAAATTAATAACAACAAGTCAGTTTCTTTTTAACAGTCCATTGTACATTCGAGTTTTACAATTTTTTTTTTTTTTAAATAATAATTAACCTGACGTATGACTCATCATCATCACTCGACGATGTACACAGTGTTTTACAATATACTCGTTCAGAACAACGCTTCTCGTCATGTAAGAGTAGTGTCCGCACCTGTGACATTAGTATATACATATATAATATTAATTTCACTTTAATGGATTCTTCATTATGAAGAACATTTATGAAAAATAATATTCTATAAACTATTTTTCTTCTTTTCTTTCTTTCTTTCTTTTTTTTTTTTTTTTTTTTGTTTCGTAGCAAGCCAGCACATTTCCAATCAAATAACATATGTAAAACATCACACACAGTCTGATTTCATGGCATCGCAGTAGAGATGTGCAAAAAGCTCAAAAAAAAAAAATTTGAGTCAATCTTAAATTTTCTCTCAGCTAAAAAAAAAAAAAAAATTGTGAACAATTTTAAGTTCTCGAGTGAATTCAAGAATATGAAAATTTTAAGAATTTAATTTTTTGAGTTTAAAAAATTTACTGTAGTTTTTAAATCAATTCTAAAATCAGGAATAATTCAAGTACAAAATTAAAATTTGAAAAGAATTTAATTTTTTGAAATTATCAACTTGATTGACGAATCCAAAAAGTTCAAGTACTAGAAATTATTTAGGAATCCAAAATTATTCGTGTATTCGAAATCGTTTGAGAATTTTAAACCATTTGAGAGTTTAAAAATATTAAAAAAAATAAGTAAAAAAAACTATTCGAGAACTTAAATAAATTTTTTTTGGAACTCAAAATCATTTGAGAATTGAAAACCATTTGAGTATTCGAAAATATTCAAAAACTTGTAACTATTCAAGAAATTTAAATTATTTAATCACTCAGAATTATTGAGGAACTTGAAACTATTTGTGAATTCAGAAACATTCAAAAATTTGAAATTATTATTTAAGAAAAAAAAAATATTCGAGAATTCAAAAATTTTAGGTACTGATAATTATCCGAAAATTCAAAATTATTTAATTCCAAATTCAAAACATTCAAGAAATTCGAAAAATTTGAGTACTGAATCATTCAAAAACATCAAACTATTCCAAAATTAAAAATTATTCGTGCATTCAAAAATATTCAAGAAATTGAAACTATTCGAAAATTGAAATAAATTATTTCTATACGCAAAATTATTTGAGAATTTAAAAATAATTCGAAAACATTCAAAAATATGCAACAACTCGAGAACTTGAATTTATTCAAGAACTTAAAACTTTTCGAAAACTCAAAAACATTCAAGAACTTGAAATTATTCAATTTAGATCTCAAAAAAATTTCAAGATATTGAAACTAATTGAAAATTAGAAATTTTTTAATCACTAGAATCATTTAAGAACCTGAAAGTATTGAGTAAATAAATTAAGAATCATTTGAAAACTTAAAAAATATTAAAGAATTCCAAAAAAATTCAAGAACTTTTAATTATTCGATAATTCAGAAACTTATACTCATTCGACAATTTGAAATTATTCAATTCAGATCTAAAAAAATTCAAAAAAACTATTCAAAAATTCGAAATTTTTTAATTACTCGAATCAATTAAGGACTTGAAAGTTTCAAGAACCTGAAATTATTCAAAAATTCGAAAAATTTGGAATTTACGAATCATTAAAAAACTCAATAAATATTAAAAATAAAAAAATATTCGTGTACTCACGAATAAAAATCAAAAATAATTTTGTTTTCAAAATTTGAAACTATTCAAAAACTTGAAATAATTCAATTCAGATCTCAAAGAAAAATTCAATAAATTTGAAACTATTCGAAAATTTGTAATTACTCGAATCATTTAAGAACTTGAAAGTATTCAAAAACTTGAAACAATTCAAGAATTCAAAAACATTCAAGATCTCGAATTTATTTTATAGAATTCTAAAATTCTGATTACTCATAATAATCATTGAAAAATCATTGTACTCGCAGTGATTTTGAAAAATTGAAATTATTCAAAAATTCAAAAATATTCAAAAACTTGAAATTATTCGAGAATTCAAAAAATATACTCATAATCGAGAACTTAAAAATATATAAGAATTGATAAATATTCGAATATTTGAAATTGTTGAAAACCTGAAAATTATTATTCAAATACTCAAAATCATTCGAAAATTCGAAAAATGTTGCACTATTGAAACACACAGACACACATACGAAATGATTGAATCGAATTTTTTGAGATTTTTGCACATGCTTACATCGTAGTAATCGCGATTAATAGCACAAAGAAAAATGCGAGCAATAAAAAGAAATGAGCTTTCATCTGATTAGTAACATAACAAACATATTTTACAGTTAGTAACAATAATTCAGCGTTACACACATTACTAATAGTAGTAGTAGTAGTAGTAGCCTCTTTACACTGTTTCTCACCTTCGCTCGACGACGTTGCATTCCTTGATAAATTAAAAACATTTCTCGAACATTCTGGCATTTCATCTTTCAATAAATTAGATTCACCAATTTTATTATCATCATCATCATTATTGACTTGTTTATTTTTTGATTCTTCACTCCTCTCACTTATCGATGAATTCTTAATAATTTGATTATCGTTATTAATTTCTTTGGTATTTACAAAATTTGTCAATTTTTCACGTAAACACGTTATTTCATTGCCAATTTCATCAATTTCATCGCTCGTTAAATTATCAACTAAATTTTTTGTCTCTCTTTTTGAAACTATTGGGATTTCATTGGAATTTTCCAATTGCACATCATTTAATTTTGTTGAATCGACCAAATTCTCAAGTTCCTGACAAAGTTGTCGATATATTGAAATTTCATGCTCTGTAAATGGTCCCAGATCTTTTCTTGATTTTTCCTCAATTGTCTGATTTTGGGAATTTTTTACTTGAATTTCTAAAGGATTTTCCATTTTTTCGACGATAATTGTTTCCATTTGTTTCAGAGTATTTTGAATTTTATCACAAGATTGATTGTCAATTTCACTTTTTTCACAATTTTTTTCACTGAATTTGATTTCCGGATAGGATTTTTTTACTGTACCTTGATTTTTATTTTGATTGTCAATTTTTTCTAGAATTGAATTTTTTTCAATTTGTTTAGGTGTTTTGAAATTTTTTTCATGTTTTTCATCAATAACTGAATCATCATTTAATTTTACCTTTTGAATTTCGATTTTTTTCAAATCATTAATTTTATTTTCTGTTTTCTCTGTTGGAGAATTTAAATTTTCCTCATTCCAAAGTGGTGAAATTCCTCTTGACTTGATTTGTTGCACCTCTTCCGATTGATTGCCATTAATGTCGAGATTTACATTATCAAAATTCCATTCAATTTCCTCATTATCTGATTTATTGATGAGACTATAGAGATTCGCCGATAGAGAGCGAACGGCACGTTTTTTACGTGTGACAAAATTCGATGGTTTCTTATCGACATCTTTTTTGTCTTTACGTAAATTTCTAAAAGCAAGATCATCCATTACAATATCGGGTTCACAGCGGGAATTTGCTATAATTTTCGTTGGTTTTGTATGAAGATAATCACTTTCCGTTGATCCGGTTATTGGTCCAAGAGGAATGCCAAAAGGTGGTTGTGGTTCAATGACTTTTAATGAATTATTTGCATGATGTAAATTTCGAAAAACAACATCGTCAAATTTAATATCTGGCTCTTTGTTGCGTTGTTTTTGTTTTGATTCCATGTAATGAATATTTCGTCGCGATGCAATTGGCGATGTTATAAGATAACTTATATTTGACAACATCACGTGACCATCGGATGTGGGACGATTCGATGATTTTAATCTTCTAAATGCCATGTCATCTTTGACAATATTTGGTTCGAATTTCGATGTTTTTTTCTCTAAATAATGATTTTCCATTTTTTTATTACTGTATTCTTCCATATCTCGTTTCTCAGCTCTTTCTAAAAGATCCTCGTCACCCAATTGTAAACTATTGTAAATTGCCTCCAATTCACAGAGTGCTTCTTCCAAATTTTTTGAACTTCTTTTACTATCAGAATTATTTTCTCTTGGTGATGATAATTTTTCCCTATTTTCATTAATTTGATATTTATTTTGTTTTTGCGAAATATTTGTAAAATTTTCTAAATTTGATTGACAATTCACTGAATTAAATTCTCGTGGTGAATAATAATTATTTTCTGGTAATATTTTTCGAAAACTCTCGGAAGCAGATGATCTTGTTCTTAAATCCGATCGATATGAACTATCGGATTTTTGTGATGGTGAACGTATTCTTGAATAAATTCCCATATTGTCGTATTGATTATTTTCTCTATAATCATTATTGGAATATTCTTGAAAATTTAGTGAATTTTCTTTATTCATTGGATTTTCTCTAGAATTTCCTCTATAATTTAAATAAGAACTTTCTTTATAATTTATTGGACTTTCTCTATAATTTATTGGCTTTTCTCTAGAATTTATTGAATTTTCTCTATAATTTATTGGACTTTCTCTATAATTATTTGGAGGATTTTGAATTTTTGAACTTTTATAATGACTATCAAGGGAAGACGCATGAGATTGTTGAATTTCATTGGGAAAATTTAATTGAAAATATAAATTCTCTTGAGATTTTGATTTCTTATTGTTTACATCACAGCTATTAGAAATGACTGGAAAAATTTGTTGTGTTTGTCGACGACGTGAATTTTTTTCTCTTTCATAATTATTTTTTCTATCAAAATCAGAAAAATATTGAAATGTTTGTTTAACGAGGGGATTTTTATTTTCTTGAATTTTCAATTGATAATCAATTATTGATGTTGATTGTTCATTTTTTTTTACATTCTCCTCACGACATAAACTTTTCATAAGACGTTCAGCTCTTGCATTTCTTCGTCGTCTTAAACAAACATCTGATTTATAACCATTATTTTGTTGTTTTGATTCATTTGAACTATCATCGGTACTGCTATTTGTGCAAAGTTTATCTCTTTTAGCTTCGACTCTTGCTTTTATTTTATCTTTACGAACTTTTTTTGTTGAACCATCTAGTGAACCATCACTACTACGTGAATAAAGAAATTCTTGTGGTACTGTTAATGATTCGACAATTGGAAATATAAATGGATTTATTTCCAATGATTTACCACTTTTATATTGAAAATCAAAATCTTTTTTTGTTTGTAATGATGAACAAATGGCACGACGTGAAGATTTATTTTTTAATATATTTTTGGATTTTTTTCGTCTAATAACTGGTGTATTATGATTACTTGATGCATCGCCACTTGATGATGCATCACCACCATCACGGTGGGATAATCTTTTCAAAAAACCACCAATTGTCCATCGTTTTCCTTTTCTTTTTTCAATAGTTGAAGAATCGACGTCTTGTTGTTGTTGTTGTTGCTGTCGAAGTGTTGGTGGAAGAAGACTATCTGTTTTTTGAATTGTTTTTCCTTTACTTTTCCACTTTTCCATTGAAATGGATTATCTAAATTTTTACTTGATTTTCGTCATTTGCGATTTTTTTCTCAACTAGGAATCTGGAAAAAAAAATTGTTAAGTTTGTTAGTTTCTGTTTCTTTTGAAAATAAAATTTATGTGTGCAGATTTAATTGCAATTTCTTTTTTTTATTCGGTGTGTGATGAATTATACGATTAGTCATGGTGTTAAATTCTTGTATTTTGCTGTAAGCAACACGGGCTTGAAAAATGCACGCAATGCGTGCTTAATATGGATTATTAGATACATGCGATAAGGAAAAGATTATAAAAATTGCAACTTTTAAATACCATTATTGTCTCAGCGTTTAAGAGACAAAGAGATATTTATATTTTCGATTAAATTTAATTATTATTATTATTTTTATTATTATTATTTTATAAATTTGAATAAAACTATAATTTTGCTACTTATTTAAATAATTAATTAAATTATAAAATTTAATTTAATATTAAATTTAAGCAGATAATTTAGAAGGTGAATCACATTAACTTATAGAAATAAAAAAATTTTATGGATCAATAAAATAGAAATTTTATTGCCCTAATTTTCAAAAATAATTTATTGCTCTTTTCGAATACGGTTTTTTTTTAATGTTAATTTTGTTTAATAGTAAAAATAGATTTTCAAATATAAATTGCTTGAAAATTACAAATAGCAGTTGTAAATTAAAAAATTTTTACTAATGCGAATTTTAAAAGACGACAAATTGGAAAAATTTGACAAAGAATTATATTTATAATGCCAAAGATAAGAAAGCGTTTCATCAAAGAATAAAAGCTATCGTAAAATTTAAAATGACATCAGACATAACTAATAGAGTGAGAAATATTTCGGAAATGATGCCATAGATAATATATTTATAAAGCTATTAATAAATGTAGAGTTGCGATTTTTATTTTAAAAAATATAACTAATAAAATTTTTCATTATTCAGTCTTAATTAAAATAATGCAATCAATTATTTAATATTAAGTAATATTTAATTTATTTTATGTACTATTTAATTTTTGCAATTAATTTTAAATAGCTTTTTTATTTTAATTTTTTTTTAATTTTTTATTATTATTTTTATTATTTACTTTTGTTGATTTTTAATTGAGTCTTCTTTTTTCAATACATTGTGTATATATGAAATAAAAGCAATTTTATAATAATAATAAAACTAAAAATAAAAAATTCTTTCCTAGCGTGGAATTAATTTTTTTTATAGTACTCCAATTAACAAGTGATTGTTTCGTTAGATACTTGATCCTCTGTTAGTTTGAATTCAAGGTTGAAGAATACAAAGCGGAGTTATGTTTTCTTTATATATATATTCTGAAATGCAAGTTTAACACAAAAATCTTTTCATAACAAATTAAAGTTCAACAAAATAAACGAGATTTTAACGACTTTAATTATCACTAGAGTGACCTAGATATTTATTTTTATTTTTTAAAACAAATTCAATTTTTTGTTATTCAAAAAATAATATATCAATAAAAAAATAATAAAAATATATTTAAATATTTTTACAAATAATAAATTTTTTTTTGCCTATTATAACATTTAACTTTTTATTTTTCTGATATATTTTATTAATAATCTAATAATTATTTAATATTCACAAAAAATATTTAAAAACCAATTTTAATATGAATTAATTAATATTTGTTAAACCGAAAATTGATTAATTTTATTATTACCAAAAATACCTCAAAAAGAATCTCTATTTAAAATATTTTTTTTTTTTAAAGTGCGGTTAAAAAATTCTAAATTAAAAGCAACTTTAAAAAAATAGTTCTAGATTTATTCATAGAAAAACAAAATAGAAAGCTTAAAAAAATCTAAATATAAAAATCTCTAAAAATCAGAATCCACCAAAGATATTCGTATTCAAATTTAGAGCTTACAAGATTAAAAGGAATGCTGAGAATTTCTAAAAGCTCCGAAATATATTATATATTGAAAAATTGAGGTTATGTTACAAAAAAAAGGGAAAACATATTTTATTCTATTAGCAAAATTTTTAGTTGCAATTATTAATCGATACCTTCATGTTTTTATTATAAAAATCGTAAAATATTTTACAAACAATAAAATTCAAAACAAAAGAAACTTACCATTTTTTATTTTAAAAAAATAGTTGTCAATTTTTTCCCAGTGAAATAAATATCCATTTTTCAATAAATAAAAAAAAAAAAATGTAAGGCACACTAACGTTTTTGTCTTGTAAAAATAGATTTGTTTACAGAAGATTTCAAGTTTTTTTTAAGACTTCCCGTGGCATTGAAGGAAACGCACTATATGTCGCGATTATTTTGTTTCCTTGTTATAAAAAATATTATAAAAATACAACAATTTCGTTTCTTTTTTGTGAATAAAAGGAAAGATACATTATATATTTTCGAATATGTTCTACACTATTTCAATATACAAAGTAGTTTTCATTTTTTTTTTTTTTTTTGTTCCTAATAATTAATGCAAACGATTTTTTCTCTCGACTCCAGTCTAAAGACTAAAGCAACCAGCGGCTATTGTCAGTCACATTCGGACATTCGGTGAATGTGAGCAGACTTTTCTGGAGGGAGAAATGACATGATGACGATACTCCGTATACGCCATTTTGATATTTCCAGGTCGCTGAATGGCCGTGACAAAGAAAAAAAAAATACAAAACTTTATAATAATAACAAAAAAAAAACCGTAAATCTGTCTCTTAACCAATGACAAGAATCGGGTTAAATGTAAATGAAAAAAATAATTGTCTGAAATTTAACAGTTTATGTTAAATTTAACATAAAAAATTTTTGGAAGGTGTTTTTTGTCTGCGATGTCAGGGCCACGTGACGTGTTACCGCGCGTTTTGAGGGAAAGGGTTATGTATATTAATTTTATGCGCGTGTTTATATACGTATATGTTTTCACTTTAATGTGGAGGATGTTTAAATCAAGATTGACGTCATAAAGTGAAAATGAATATCGAAGGTGGTCATCATCGTGAAATGAAAATACTTTTTAAACTTAAAAGGGCCACAACGCTCAAAATATCGGTTCTCTGCGATGTTGTTCTTGTCAACGCGCATAAAGGTTGATTATTTTTTTTTTACAAGGTCTTTCTATTTATATTTTAAACATTCATATTTTCATATCTGAATTATATTCAGGACGTCATATATGGGCGCATAGAAAATTTGCATTTACCCATATATATATTAAATAGAAAATTTCCTATTATTGAGGTTATGATTGTAGAAATTGCAAAATTTGCCAAATATTTAGAGAATTTTTTTCTACAAAATTAGATTTAAATCTTAATGTTAACAATTAATATTTGTATTAACATTATTTTACTGAATTATTTATATAATAATTATATAATATTATAAAAAATAAATTATTATTGTTAGTATTATTATTATTATTAATATTATTAATAATTATTAATAATTGATAGTAATAATAATAATTCGGTGAAAAACAATTTATTTAATGAAAAACTATTTAAAATTTTTTTTTTAATTAGTATCGAAAATTAAAAGAATTTAAATATACCCGCGCTGTTTAAACCAATTAGGCGAAATTAAAGCGTGCCGCTTATTGGTTTACTACACCCCTGATTTTGAAATTTTTGTTTTGGGACCAGAGGCCATTAAAGCAAAAGAAAGAAAAAAAGAAAGAAAGAAATTTTTGTTTTCGAAATTTTATTATTTCAAATAAACGCGCGCTATTTTCGACCAATAGGATAGGATTATTTGCTTGCATAATTGCAATTTGTCCTAGCAGTATGAACAACACATAAGAAAAGTGAAGTGTCTTGTTTCGAGGTTAGGGTGTCAATCGTTGAAACGTCAAAAAAAAAGGGGAATGGTCTCTATTTTTCCTATTTTTTCGAGAAATGTGCTTAAATATCGAATCTCAAATACTTCAAATCTATTAATTCGAATTCCAGCGGGTGTGATTTGTCAAAAAGGTAAGTGAATCTTACATAATAATTCAATAAATAGAATGTAAACAAAAACTTGTCAATATTTCAACAATCGACATTTTGAAGGAAAGGGTATTTAACAAATTTATTAAATTGACAAAAGTTGATGTTTATCAATTGTTTATTTTATTTGTATTAAGAATAAAAAATATTTTGTTTAAATTAAATTTCAAAGTAACAATTCATGAAAATGTTTTTTTTTTTTTTGTTATTCCTCGTTCTCGAATTGTTTCATGATTAAAAATGTTAAAATATAAATTTTATAAAATATTAATTGATTGGAAAAAAAATCGCAAAAAAGCATAACAAACTTAATAAAAATAACCGTTGTAATGAATGGCAAATTATTTCAGCGATTTCTGGTTTTCCAGTGACTTTACCGATAGAGGATGAGAGGAATATAAATTTTTTTTAATATTTTAGAAAAATTGATTCTCATATTTCGTTAATTATTATTAAAACATCGAATCATAGAATTTGCATTATTTCAACAACAAAAAAAGTAAGAAAATAAATTCTTTGTGTCATTACATCACGTATCAATAATTGTCCTTGAAATATTAGGTTGTAGGTGGATCGTATTCGAAAATTAGATCAGTTCGTGCTAAACAGTCCAGCTGTAAACTTGCAGTATTATAAGATTTTGCTTATTGAATATTTTATCAATTTAATGCTTCTTTATAAATATTCCAATTAGAATATAGGTTATTATTATTTTTTACATTAATTTTCAATTACATTCTATATATATATATAGAAACACTAAGGAAAATGACGACTGAAATCGATAAAGAAGAATTAAGAAAACGATTGACACCATTACAATGGCACGTGACACAAGAAAAAGGCACAGAAAGGTATATTTTTTTTTTGAAATTTTAATAAAAATCGTAATTTTAATTATGGAAATTGAGGTTAGATTTTTATTTCGTTTTATTTTTAGTACATTTTGTATTTTATCGTTTTTTTTTTATAAATATATATTTCAATATTATAACAATAATTTCAAAATAAATAACAATTGTAATGAGAAATAAAATCTTACAGATTATATTTTTATATTAAAATTGAAATTATAAACTAACATTAAATAAGATAAATATATTAAGTAATTTTCGTGAATATTTAAAATTTACCTATTTTGAAAATAATTTTTACTACATTTGATTTTCAAGAAATTACAAAATAGTATAATTCTATTAATAGTTTTCTAAGAGACATTATGTTACAAAATATTTTCTTATCGTTGGACTTGGGCCAATAAGAAAATTATTCTTGAAGCATTTTTCAATTTTATGATAATTTATTCTAAAAAGGAAGATTTTCATTTTATTCTTTAGCGCATTGCGGTTAAAAGAAGAAAATTTTTTATTAATATTAGATTTTTTGTTTTGCTTGGAAATTTGTTTTCTTTTGTTTTTTTTTTTTTTTTTTTTTTTGGTATTTTCAGAACATTTGTTGGTAAACCTCGAAAAGGTTTTCGGTGACATCGCAACTAAAAATAACTAATTCAAGTGCATCTCCATCCTCACTTGTGTGGATCAGGGCCAAGTTATTTAAAAAAAAAGAAAAGATTTTGCATAGCAAAAATTTTTTTAGCTTTTTTTTAAATTTCTTTTCTTTAAATTAAAATTTATAATAATATTTTTTTATTATAGACCGTTCACCGGATGTTACAATAAAGTCTATGACAAGGGTACCTACACTTGTGTGGTGTGTGATCAAGAATTATTTTCTTCCGAAACAAAATATGACAGCGGATGTGGTTGGCCTGCTTTTAATGAAGTTTTAGATCAGGGGAGAGTTAAATTGACTAAAGATACTTCACATGGTATGTTTTAATTTTTTTTCATTTAAAGAAAAAAAATACATATATACTTTAAACACTAGTTAGAATAAATTGCGAAGTAAATTTATACTGATGGATTTTTAGTTTCGTGAATTTTTATATGTTTATAAAATCATATTTTTATATTATGATAAAAAAAACTATATATTTCGATTTCTAGATTTTAGTAAATAAAAACTAGTGGAAAATTTTCTCTATCTTTTCTTTTAGGGTTTTTTTTTTAAATTTAAAAAAAAAGTTGAGAGAACTTCTTTTAAAAAATTCAAAGAAAGAATTATTTAACAATTTTTGTAAGTAATTATCGAGGTGAATTTTTTAAAAAGAATTTTTTTCGAATTGTTTTTTTTTTTTGTTCTTTTTAGAAATTTTTACTTTTAAATTTCAATTTTTTAAATCTAGTTTAATATTTTCAAATGAAAAAGTTTTTTCTATAAATAAATATGTAAATAAAATGGTCGTTCATTGAATGTTTTTTCGATTTTAACTAAAAATTCATCAGTGATGTATAATTTTTTTTTTGTAAAATTGTCGCAGCTTTTTATTTTATATTTACGTGATTTAACGTTTATCATTGGAATGTTCATTATTTGTAGTTGTATAAGATTTTTATATTTTAGTTATCGTTTAATTTGTAAATGTCATAATTATTATTTTCTAAAACAAATAATATGCAGGTATAGCTTTTTTAGATTTAGAAAAAATCGTCTCGTTTTTTAGTTGTTTTTTTATTTTTAACATAGTTTAGATTTTTATACACCTGCTTATTATGTAGAAGCGCCCATTCCGTCCTAGAAAAAAAAAGAATTTCCAATTTTCATTTTACCTTTAGTATTTCTTCGGCCGTCAATGAAAACAATTTTTAATTACAAAAACATATTTTTTTATTCCAATAATTGAACAGACAATTTCTTTTATTGTTTTTTTTTTCAATGCTTTCAGTAAATCTGTTTGTTTCTATTTGATTTTTTATTTCATTTTTAGCTTTTTTACTATCAATTTATTATTTTAATTTTAGCTATTTATTAACAGTTGTTTTTTATTATTACTTTTTACTCTGAAAAATATATTTTTTTAATTTGCCGCTAAATATAAAATTTAAATAATCACCGCTTATGCTAAAGCTTTTGTTTTTATTTTTGTAATAGTTGAGAATATTTGAAAAAAAAAATTAGTTATTTTATAGGCATGTTTTATGCTTTGAAAAATAATAATTCAGTTAAAAATTGCTATAATTATTATTATTGAATTGTGGCTCGAAGAATGCAGATCATATTATCCAATATTTCCAAAAATACATCTTTATCCCGCATGTCGGAGCTTAGAGTGTGATTGTGATAGACTTACATCATTTCTTTTTTTTTTAAATGTTAAACTAAAAAAAAAAAAAAAAAAACGGCGCTGTACATTTAAAAATAAAACCTTTCTGTATACATATATGTGTATAGAAAAAATAACACACATTTAACATGCCTCGCTATATCTTATATCGAAAGCAATTGTTAATTTATTATAATTATTATATTCTTCGTTCATCAAACTTGATACTGAGATTGATCTCAATAAAATGAATCTTGTCCTTTTAAGTTCACGCTTTTATTCTCTCACTATAATTGTGACACGCCTCTTATTATGTGTGTCACGATTATTTTTAAAAGCAATTTGTCCATTAATTAGAAAATGATTCTACGTCTTTATTTTTTGTTTCGGTTTAGTATTTTTTTTCGCACATGATGTTACAAAATTTAATATTTGTAAATGTTAAATTTTTAATTTAAAAATCATAATAATAATAATAATAATAATAATAATATAATTATTATTATGATTATTAAAAAATTAAATTATTTTCTAATTACAAATTAATAATTCGCTAAAGAATAATTATAATTATTTTTAAGTTTGTAATAAAACAATATTATTTATTTTTAATTTCGATCTTCTTTTTTTTTTAATAATCGCTTTAAAACTTTTTAATTGCATCAGTACTTTTTTATTTTGCTGATATATTAATTTTTTAATTTTCTTTTTTTTTTAATGACTATTTTTTAATTTTAATGTTTTTATTTGCGTGTAATTTCTAAACTTTTATAGTTGACTAAAATGTTTTAAACGCTTTCAATGTTTGAATTTTCTGTACAATTTATTGGTGAAAAAAAAGAAATATGATAAATATTAACATTTTTGAAAATTATTGATTAATTATGTTATTATTTGACAAAAGTTACATAATTGCAACAAATATATTATTAATTTATATTTAATTTTTTTAATATTTCGGATTTTAATTATTAAAAGAAATAATTTTTTACTCTCAAAAATTGATGGATAAAAAGTACAAGATTTTTTTATTGATTGAAAAATATTTATTATTGCATATAATTCAATGATTTCTTTTTATTTTTGTATGAGAAAAATTTTATGTAATTTATTTTTCATGAAAAAAAAATGTACGATATTTGTAGAATTAGATCAAGATTTTGAGGATGTATTTTTTTTTTTTTTTTGGTCTTATTTGGAAAAAAAAATTTATTTTCATTAATAAGCTTTTTAGTTTTTAGCCATTTTTTGTGAAGGAAAATTTTCACATATATTACTACTGGAAAATTGTACTTTTTTCTGTAAAAACTGATTTTTCAAAAATCTAGAATTAATAACGTCGATGTTAAAATTAAATGATAGAAGCAAGAATATTGGAAATTTAGAAAAATAAAGTGATTTGAAAATCAAACTGCAAATAATGCTTGAGACCATTTTTTTTGTATGATGCACGTAATTATTTTACAATTATTGTAATTTTTATCAAAAATTTGAATATTTAGAATGATCGGAAATAATTGAGTATTTTTTAAAAAAATAGCTTTTATAGTAATTATTTTTCAAAAACAATTTCTTTAGTGCACTTTTGAAAATCACATTTATATATTTGTTCGTTTACAATTTTTTAATGCATTTATTTGTTTCTAATAATTATTGAAAAAATTAAATTAAAATGATTTACAGAATAATTAAAAATAAAATAAATTTTTTTTTTGAATGATAAAAACAAAAATTTTAATTCAAAAAATTCGATTAGAATTTTTGTATCCTTTTTTTTTTTAAAAAAAAAGAAAATAAGCATGTGCTGCTTTTACCAATATTCGTGTCTTTTATCAAAATATAAATATTGAAGAGAAAGAGAAAAAAAAATAATAATGCAGCAGTCGATTAAAAAAGTAGCGAAAAAAAAGAGATGTTTGTCTCTGAATAATCACACTCTATTATTATTTCCTTTGTCCTCCTGCTCCAACACTACTACCATCACACTTGAACTCCGAAAATGCAAAATCCGACTCTCAGTCGGCGGAAATCTACTACTGCTGATCGCAAATCCAGATATGGTGCGGACTGAAGTCAATTGCTCGAAATGTGGATCACATCTTGGACATGTTTTCAATGATGGACCAAAACCAACGAGGAAACGATTTTGCATCAATTCCGCTTCCATTCATTTCCATGCGGCTGGCGAAGAAAAAAGAAACTCGTGAAAGAAAAAAAAAAAAAATCTCTAACAAACTTTTCGGCTCAAAGAACAAAAATCACTGTTTACTTTGATGATCGTATTTAAAAGGAAATTTCAATTTACAACGATCATTGTGACCAATAAAAAAAAAAAGAATTATGAAAGTAAGACAAACTTCTCAGCAAAATTTCTTTACATCTTTGAAAAATTAGAATTACCTAACTTTTACAAAAATTAAATTAAATTATGCTATTACAAATTAAATTATGTGTTAATTAAAATTTACTTTTAATATTCTAAAATGCATAATAATTAAGAATTAATAAATTATTTTACATTTAAGATTTCTAATTAGATTTGCTAATCTGAATAACGATTTTTGATCTTTTTTCCAACTAATATTTATGTAATTACTTTTTTTTTTAATATTTAACGAAAGAGATTTTTGTCTTCATTTAGAATTTAAAGTGCACAATAAACTTCCATTTATTGTGTTTTTATAAAATAGAAAAATTATATATTAAACTCGCGAAAATGGAAGATTATGTATAATATAAAAAAAAAAAAAAATGTATGAAAATTTTATATATAGAGACAAAAAAAAGTGGATATTGTTATTTTTTTCCAATCACTCAGAGGCCATGATTTGTAAATAAATCATTGTAACTATTATTAAAAGAATTTAATATAAATAGAGGTTTCAACTTCAAAAAGTGTTTCAAATTTTTCGACCTTTCATTTCTGAAAAAAATCCTCTTTATTTTCTTAAACTATTAAAAAAAAAATCATTTTTTTCCCATAAAATTTTTTTTGTTAAATTCCTTTTTACTGAATTAAGCTACGCAAGTGTTGTTTCTTTTCGATTAATTAAATTATTGAATTAAAAATAAAAAAAAAAAGTACAAATTCGGAAGGGAATATGAAAAAAAATTGAAAAATGAAAGCAACAATGTGTTATAAAATGTTTCCTTATATTAATAACGTTTTTAAACAAACTGAAAGGAGTTACAGTATAATATATACGCAAAAATCTAGGCGTTATTCTTTACAACAGTAGTTATTATTAAATTTGTTTTTTTACTTCATCTGTTTTTTTTTTTTTTTTTTAATCCTTTTGTCCTTTGTTGTCAAAATTGTTTCTCTTAGAGAACGATTTGCATTTATACCGAGAAATTCTTCTCTTTCTCATACACAAAATGCTCTTTTCTCGACGATAACATCAATACTTATTAATAGAAAAACGCTAATAATTACAAATAATAATAAAAAAAAAACTGTAGGCCTAATCATCTTACAGACGAGATCGCAAAGCATTTTCATAAACATCTTTTTTTTTCTTTTGTAAAACTACGTCTATAATCGCATTGGTGGGACATTTGTGTCAGGAACCTATCTCACATTTTTGAAATAATAACATTAATTATTACATCAATATAATAATATTATTAATAGTAATAATATATTAATATTTAATAATAATTATATTAATGTAATAATTTTAATAATACTAATAATATAATAATAATAGTAATACAATTCTCCCTTGACTAAATGCACATTGAATTTAAGTCAAGACGTTCACGTTTTATTTACCCCCATTCCTTTTTTTCGTATTTTAATTATTTTATTTTATTATGTCTGAATTCAGTACCGCTAATAAAAGCTAAAGCCATTATATAAATACTTGCACGTTAAAAATTAATGATTTTTTTTTTTTTTTAATGAGCATCTACAACATCATTCATTTTAAGGCATGTTATGGTACAGATTTTGTACTTTTTGCGATCTTGCATAATAAATTCTGTTTTCATTTCTATTTTTTTTCCTCACGCTCCTAATCACAGTCTTTATTTTATTTTATTTTTTTTTTGGTTTTCTCGTTTTTTTTTCCTATGAAATCAGAATTAGATTCGAAATATATTTCTATTAAAAATCTATTTATCGAACTGTCTTTGTTTTCAAAAATTTGTTTAATGATATTTTCTTAAAATAGAAACAGGGAACACAGGTTTATCACACCTATTAACCTTTTATTTATATCTATTTTGATAATAAGTTACTTTTTTCACCTTTTCTTTAAATGTTTCAATTGACCGAAGCTTCAATTTATCGAAAATTTTCCATTGATTTAAAAATGATTTAAAGAAAAATTTCAATAAATTAAAATTTAAATTAATTGAAGCATTTATTGAATTAAATTTTAATCGATCTAAATTTAAATTCATTCTAATTCTAATTAACCATCAATTCAATTTATTCCAATTTAAATTTATTCAAATTTTTATTCATTTAAATTTCAATTTAATTCTATTTTATTCTATTAAAATTTTAATCGATTGAGACTTATAATTAATAAAATTTCAATTTACCTTAAGATTGATTGATTTAAGTTTCAAATTATCCAAATTTCAATTTATCCAAAATTTTAATTGATTTAAATTTCAAATTATTTGAATTTTAAATTGTTTAAATTTTAATTAATTTATTTTTTTAACCTATTTGAATTTCCATTTTTCTGAATTTTATAATTAATTTATTTTTAAAATTATTCGAATTTTAATTGATTTAAGTTTCAAATTATTTGAATTTTAAATTGTAAAAATTTTAATTTATTTATTTTTTATAATTATTTGAATTTGAATTGATTTAAGTTGCAAATTATCCGAATTTTAAATTGTCCAAATTTTAAAGTATTAATTATTCAATAATATTGATGAAAAATTTCACTTAATAAAAATTTGAATAGATAAAAATTAGTTATTTTTCATATTTTTAAGAAAAAAGGTACTGTGATCCCTGTAAGATACAATAAAATATAAATTTTTTTTCTTTTTTAATTAATAAAATTTGTAAACATTCCAGAATTAATAGTAATGAAAAAATTTATAATTTTCGAAATAAATAAACAAATATGAAAGAAAAAAATCATTCTCACACGAAAAATTCATATTTCCTTAATAAAAATATTTTCGAATCACTTCTGCATATATATGATAATGGTCTGTATGTATTTATAGATCACATAATATGTATTACACAAATGGTGCCTCTTTTCAGTATTTGAAAGGTAATAAAAAAAGGAATCGCGTTCGCCTTGACTTAATTCAATTTCAAAAAATCTTCCACCATAAAAGGAATGGAAACATACATACACGTTAACAATATATAATATAATATAAATAACGACGCGACTTTTTTTTTTTTTTATCTTGTAATAAGAGTAGAGATATTTGTGAAAATGCAAGATCTCTTTACCATATTTGCTCCATTTCTCCTTATTTTCTTTTTTTAAATACATTTTTTATCGTCTTTTTTTTTTTTTTTCTTTTTTCTTTTTTGATCAAAATATCAATATATTTTCGATCAAAATATTTCGTTAACGTAATTTTTTTTTATACCCTTACTAATACTAGACGTGCACAATTACTTGGTTTTTTTTTGTCCCACTAATATTCACTATATCTCTAGCTTATGATTTTAAGTCGATTCAGAGATAAAGTCAAATGTCAAATATCGATTTTGGCTCCGAATCAAGATAAAATGATAAATCTAGTTTTAAAAACTGAGCCATTTCATTTATACGTTGATTTTTTTTTTTTTTTTTTTTTAAAGAAAAATGAAATTCTAATCACGTGCTTCGCAATAATATCAAGCTACTAGATATGAAATTTAAAAAAAAAATTAAATCACTCTCAAATCATTTTCACCGGTTTCCAATTTTGGAACTTGAAAATTTTTTCATCCTTTTACACTCGTCTAAACAATTTTTTTTTAATTTTACTATTATTTTTTCTATTTTTTTTTATTTAAAAAGAATTTTTTCAAATTCAAAAAAAATAATTTTTATTTAGAAAACAAATTGTATATCCTAATTTGTTAAACTCCCATTTTTTTTTATGAAAATAGAAAAATTTTAAAATTCCAAATTTGAAAAATATCGCAAATATATTTCGTCTCGGTAAAAATTTCTCCGTTCTCATCAATATTACACTTAAAATTCTCGTCTTTTCTCTCACATTATACAAATTTGATACTTGATACAAGACAACTTATTCTTTTTTTTATATATATAATATATATATATATATATATGTATATTATATGCAAAACAAGATTTGGAAAAGACAATTCTACAAAAATGTCGCACTAACTTATAAAAGGTTTCCGTTTACCACAATCTGATATTCTTTTCAAAATATATATAGCACATTTAGAAAAGCGACACGCTCTCGCTGTACGGAAACCTCAATTTCTAAATTCGCTCTTAATTTAATAATAAAATCCTATACGTTGGTTTTTTTTGTTTTTTTTTTTTTTTTTTTTTGTTACCGATGGTCCTAAAAAAATCAAGTGTTCAATTGTTTGTTTTTTTATTTATTCTTTTACGGTGTATTATTTATTATTTTTCTTTTTATTTGGAATTCTAGTGTTAGATTTTTACGTGTATCTAAACACGAAAAAGGCAGGCACTTTATAGTGTCACAAAATCTTTTTTTTTTTAAATTCATTTTCTCTCTCACTCTCGCTTTCATTTTTTATCTCACTCTCTTTCTCTCTACGTTTTGAACCTTGTCTTAAAATTTCCATCGTTCATATATTTTAAATATATAATTATTATAGATTTCAATACACGGACGAACCACAGTTATTGCGATTCCACTTAATCCAATAGAGATCAAGTTTTTTTTTCTTTTTACCGATCGCTTGATAAATTATACATCTAGAAAATAAAAAATACATCTTTCGTTTGTCGTTTACTGGGCTTTAAAAATTAATAATAAGAGACGAAAATTTAAATTAATTTTCGTTTACATTAAAATAAAATTTAACTATTCTCTCTCTATATATATATACACGGAGAGAAATTTATGCTACTGGGTAACATAATGATGTTAAGGGCAACCATATTTAGTGCTAAATATACAGACAGCGATATAGATTGTAGTATTTACTATCAGATGATTATAGAAATTTGATTGTACAATTTACAATCTTTGATGTTAAAAATTTTATATACGATCTCTTTACGTTCTCGAGTGGCAAATATACACGAACCTAACCTCGCTTTTTTTGTAAACTTAAATAATTTCATTTTATTTTAATAAAACATTTCGATAAGAATTTAAACTTTAAACTTTTTACATAAAAAGGAGTATGTCTATTTTTTCACTCCGTCTATAAAAAGGACTTGCTTAAACATAAATATATTTATCAAACGGTACATTTTTTTCACAGAGTCAATTGAATTTGTATTATTTTACTAATTTTTAACTTTAAAAAAAGTAAGAAAAAATATGAAAGTTTTTTTTCCAAAAAAAAATTTCAATAAACACATGTACATTTTTACAAACGAAAAAAAACTTACTTGATTTTTGTAATCTTAAAATTTTTTAAAAAATTTTAAGCGAGGTTCTGGTTTTGGTATAATGAGTGATATTGTATCATTGTCCAGTAAGTAAAACAATTCTTCATCAATTTTACCGTCTAAACAACGCAAAATTGTTTTGAGGTTATAAACACGTTCACACTTCAGTCTTCGCTAATTCAATCAAAATAATAAACCTACCTCCAAAAGATGGAATCAAAGATTCCATATTCCACGACATTAATAAATTTTTAACAAACTCGTCCATTTTTTTATTCACAATTTTTTTCACTATATATAAACACGTGCGTGAAAACACAAGGACCGCAATTGAATAGGCGAAGTATACACCACAATCAGCGCATGCGCTCACATTTAATTTTTACAATATTTGATAGTAGTGACTACAATCCAAAAGCTAACATATTTTACGTCTTTGGGTAACATCTTGGATAGTAAAATGTTGATAGTAGATTCTTGTCAGTAACACAATGATAGTACCTTGTACAATCTTTCTTTTTACTATCAAATTCTTACTATCCATTTCTCTCAGTGTATATATATATATTTTTGTCTGAATTTCTAATACTAAATTCCTTTTTTCGCAAACAAACCAATTTCTCAGGCCATTTTGCAAAAGAGATCAAAATCGTAATAAACAAAAGTATAATTTACAAAATTTATTTTTAATAATACAAAATTTTAAAACATATTTTTAAAATTGTATTCAATAACTAAAAAGAAAGGACGACATAAAAAGGGTAAAAAAAATACTGATACAGGAAAAATTATTTTCTTTATAAGAGAAAAAAAACAAGAGAAAAAGTTCTCTTTTAAAAAAAATCGGCCCAGTAAACAAACAAAACTGAAAATAAAAATTGCAAATTCGCAAGATAAAAACAAATTACGAGAATTAAAATTTAATACATCTCATGAAAAAATAATATACAAGACGAAAACAATAAAATAATTCGATTAGTCTCAATAAATTATTATAAAATCACGCAACCTTTTGATAAAATTGATATACTATTTATAAATTAATAATAGCAATAATAATAATAATAGTAATAAAAAATAATAATAACACCGAATTTATTTCACAATCAATTAGTTTTTGTCATAATGTGAAATAAATTCGATAATAAAAATATTTCAAAAAAATATATATATAAAAAAAATCAAGTTAAAAATTGACGATCGATCAAAGCTGCATTTTTATTGCTTCTGACAATAATTTGAGAACGTTGAAATTTTAAAACCGGTGGAACGACTAAAATCAGGTTTTTGAGCTAGGCATTATTTTTGTTTTCTTTCCTTTTTTTACACATTGTTAATTAAGAAAAAGAACCTATTGTTCAATTTTTTCCAAATTGGTTCAAAAAATATAAGTCTGACGCAAAGATAATTTTTTTTTTTTTACAAGTTTTGACTGATAATGTTGTGATGACCGTTAGAATAGAAATTACTGAGACAAAAAAACAAATCAATAACAAACGTATAGGTAAAAAGCGCGGACGGTGGAGAAAGGCCCCACTGCACGGAGCGAAAAGTTGCGCACCAGCGACCGAGAACCGACCTAGCGTCGCGCAGCCCAAGTAATTTCCCCCTCCAGGCGCTCAGACCTCCGAGCTCCCCCACCGCTTCTCTGCCAGACGGACCGACATAAAAGCAGCAGGCCCGACACGGAGAGCTCAGAACTAAGTTTGACTCAGGACGAAGAGTTTCACTCTTAGAGCCTTCCCTATTTTGAGTTTTACTCGATAGTGAATCGAAAGGAAATTGGTTACGTGGAGCCAAAGAGTGAAATGCAGGTTGAGTTTCTACCGGCGCTGACGCGAGAAGAGGTTGGGTTGAGGACATATAATATCTTCTGCGGATGCTGTTAATGCGGCTACGCTAAAGTCTGAATTCGAAAAGTACACTGATTCTGCATTTTTGTCATCACAATGCATGGCCGAGTATATGACAAAGAACATGGTGAATGTTTTTGATCTGGTGCGGAAGTGCTACATGTTACCAACGAAAGTCAAGTACATGGCCGGATATTTTAATACTGGTTATGTCTTTTGGAACGAACCCGGGGGCACATTCGAGTGTGATTTGACAAAGGGCAGGTATGTGTTTGTGAATAAGAGAACAAAAATAATGCTGAACAAAGCAATCGAAAGGAGATTGATGCGTCATGAACCAATGGATGTGAAAATACCGGACTTGGTGTGGGTCAATGGACCTCCTGGTTGTGGAAAGACCCATTATATAATGCAAAATCACGTGTTGCCACATAAGAGCGGTAGTGACTTGGTGTTGTGCACTACGTCTGATGGGGTCAGTGAATTTAGGAAGAGAGCAGAAGCAAAGGGTGTCCCAAAAGTGTTTTTGAACACCTATTATAGAACAGTGCAGTCTGTTCTGGTGAATGGGTGTGATAAACAGTTCGCTGTGGTGTGGATGGATGAGTTTTTGATGTCACATGCTGGTGTGTTGGGATAGGTGACACTCTTGACTGGTGCAAAGAAAGTTGTGTGTCTGGGAGATAAGAATCAAATACCGTACATAGATAGGGATCATGTGTCGGACCTGAAGTACACTTTGCCGTCTTCGTACATGGACGTGCGTGAGGAGTTGCACGCTTCATATTGGTGTCCGATAGACGTGATGTATGTGTTGAGCCCTATGTACAGCTCGTTACCGATATACACTAACAATTTGCTGGTGCGGTCGATGGTTTGGAAGCGCTACAGTGAGAACTTTTCCGGGATAAGACGCGATCAGGATTACACCTTGTACTTGGTGCACAATCAGAGTGATAAACAGCAGTTGGTTGATAATAAATATGGGGTAGGAAAGGGATCGGCAGTCTTGACAATTCACGAAGCGCAAGGCGCTACATACGAACACGTGATATGTATAAAGAAGAATGAGAAACCCTTAATGATATACGATCAGGTGCCATGGGCAATAGTTGCTATTAGCAGGCACACGAAGTCACTCGTATATTATTCGGATGTGGAGGACTTATTGTATAAGTATGTAACATCAGTGGTAGTGCCCGATGAGGTGTTAATAACGTGGAATGCAATGAGACGGGTGAACGCGAAGAAGGCGGGGTATTATGAATCGGATGTAATTTTCACAAGACATATTGGTCGCCCTCTGGATGAGGAGTTAGTGATGGATCTTCCGCATGCTACTCATGAGCCGTTGCGTGAGCGCGTGGTGTCCGAGTGTATATCTTTTGAGGGATCTAAGCCGATTGTGATGTGAAGTACTTGCAGTGTTGGTATGATGATAAAATGCCTGGTGTGGCAGCCAGTGTCATCGAGAATAATCAGTTGGTGGTGGAGATGTCTGATCTAAATTTGTGTGCGGATGGTTTGGATGTGATTCCTGTGAGAGGACATTTTCAGTTACTGAAATTTGACAAGTTGAAGCCGGCCATGCAGACTGCAGCGCCCAATAATCGCAGAAAATTATTATTGGCCAAAAATGAACGGTGACATCGCAAATTGTGTACGACGGTGAGAACCATGTCTATCACACAAATTACCCCAAACGGCGATTCCCGGAAAAATGGGTACCTGTAACGCCAATTATCCTTAGGAGTATGTCTCAATGGACGTAGTAGGTCCTCTCGTAAGATCATCACGCGGTAATAAATATTTACTGATAATGCAAGACAAATTTACAAAGTGGGTCGAGCTACATCCCCTCCGTGAACAAAAAACCAGACCAATTATAAACGCGCTAAAAGAAAAAGTAATTTTACGATACGGTTGTCCCAGGATTCTAATTACCGATAACGGGAGTCAATTTCGGGCGACTGAATTCGCGAATTTATTAAACGAGTTTTGAATAACTCACCAAAGAACACCCCCATACTCACCCCAATGCAATCCCGTTGAAAGAACAAACAAAACGATAAAAACAATGACTTCACAATACGTAAACGATAATCAAAAGACTTGGGATGCGTTACTTTGTGAGTTTCAATTCGCGATAAACACGGCGAAACACGAATCGACGTTGTTTACCCCCGCATATTTAAATTTTCAACGCGAGATCTTGCCTCCCAGTACTCTAAAAGCAACAATAGAAAAAAATACGCAACCAATCCCCAAACGGGTCGACAAATTGAAAGACACGATGGAGCTCGTACGAGTAAATTTGGCACGAGCATTTACGCGTCAAACCGCATATTATGATCGTAAAAGACGCGACTGGACACCATCCGTTGGTGACAAAGTAAGTAAACGAGAAAGACCGTTATCGTCCGCCATTGCCAATTTTTCATCAAAATTAGCGACGAAATTTAAAGGGAATTTTGTACTTACCGACATAATAAGCCAGACCGTTATTGAGATCGCCGATCAGGAAGGGAAATGTCACATCGTCCACGTAAAGGACATCAAACCCTATTTTGAGGGTGAAGAGAGGGCTCCAGATGACATCAGCGAAGAATCTCCGCGAATCAACCAATCAGAAACCAACAAAAATCCTATCCCCACCCCTGCCAATAAATCTACATAAAACCACCGCTCGTCACTTAACGGGACCATTCTTTTTAGATATCGCTCATACGCAACATGTCAAAAAAAGACTTAATGTTTGAACTTTTTGGCGATGACGGTGTAGTCAACAACGAGTATTCACCCACGTCAGTTACACGTTTGTTTTTTTACTCAATATCAGCTTAAAAGTTATTATCTAGTAAGGTTCTCTCTAATAGTAGTTGTGTATCAATGTAGCTAACTCGTTCTTCAAAAAAGAGTCAGTAATACTCGTTTCGTATAATTATATATATATATATATATAATAATATTTAGAAAATAATCGATCATCGTTCGTTCAAATCTCTTGGGTCTTTAAGTCGAAATTTATTTCCTCTTTTTTTTGTTTGTTTTGTTTTTAGAAAAATTTCTAAACAAAAACAATGGATTTAAAGAATAATTTTTTTTAAAATAAATTATTATAATATATAATAAATATTAATTGAGTTCCGCTATAATTAAACTATAATTTGTAATTCAGTTAAATTAACATAATTGAATATTCATAGATTCAATTAGTGATCCAATTAAATCGCAATAAATTAATTTATCGTGACTCCAGAGATTTGAACGTTCAAAAAAAAAATTTTTTTTAACTGCTTCTTGATATCAGGTGATATCTGAAGTTCTATCTAATATATTTATATATTTATATTTATATATATATTTATATATATATATATGATATTCATTAATCGTTATAAATTATTGAATTATTGTGCCGTTACCTTTTGGGAGGGTAATTCATTATTTTTAATTTTTTTTTTTTTTACTGATGACGTCTCACTCAACTATTCTGCCAGTCGAAATTTTATTCTCCTAATGACCTTTTGCTGCTTCCTTAGCCGCCATTATCAGTGGCGTTAATGAGGCCAGCGGCCTTGCTAATTTCAAAAATGGATGCTGTAAAAAAGACAAATTTTAATATTTAAAAATTTAATATCATAATTTATTATTTAAAATAATAAAATTTATTTAATGATTAATTCATATGAAATTAAAAAATAAATCCGTATTAATTAATTTTTTTTTTTTTTTTGGTGGGTATTTATTTTATTTACCTTAAGAAGTTCCGAGGCTGATGAGCGTCTTTCGACTTCAACTTCTAAACATTGGTCTAAAAAGTCTTGAAAAATGCCCGACAGCTTCTCTTTCTCCTTAATTTCTGGTTTGCCATTTGTCGCGATTAGATAAAGAGCTTTTAAAGGATTTTCATTTAAATACGGTGGCTCTCCTTCTATCATTTCGATAGCCATTATCCCCAAGGACCATATGTCGACCTTTGGATCAATAAGTTTGCAAAGATTAAAAATAGATTTATCGCCAGAATCGTTGAATGATGTAATGTAAATAAAAGATAAAAGAGAGAAAAAAGGTCTCTTTCTAGAAAAATAAATTCAATTAATAAAAAAAAAAGCTTTCAAAATTTTATTGACATTAAAAATATTGTTTGTTTTGTTTTTATCAATTTTTCCTAATTAATGGAAAAGAAATTCAAAAAAATCATTGTCAACAATTTATTATATTCTAAATAATTTTTACCAATTATGAGAATTTGTTGAAAATAATTCGAGAAACGATGAAATATAATCATAATAAATAAATTACAAAATGGGTCAAGCGCCAATTTCATGTTTTTACCGTAAATAAAAAAAAGATATATAAAAATTCTGCTGGTCATTTAAAATAAAACTATGAAAATTCTTTTCAAGATATTATTATATTTTACTAAATGAACAACAATTTATTTATTTATCAATTAAACAGGTATTTTTGAAATTAGCTGAAATTTTTAAAGAATATTTATTACAATTTTTGAACAAAGTTCTAACAGAAATTTTTCAAAAATAATTGAATCTTAAAGTATTTTAATATTTAATTTTTAAAATAATGTAATTTTCAAAGAATGTAATTTAAAGATTTGAAAAATATTCAATTTTTCAAAGATTTTAATGGAAATTTTTTAAGATAATTGAATTTATGATGGTTTAAATGAAAATGTTGGAAATAATTAAATTTTCGATGAATTTTAATTGCAATTTTTGAAACCAATTAAGTTTTTGAATTAAAATTATTGAAGACTTTAATAAATAACTAATGTCATTAGATGTTAAATTTATTTTATTAATTCTGTAATGAGAATAATTCTATAAGAATATTATCAAAGAAAATTTATTTCAAATATTTCAGAATCGAACTAATTGTAAGACAAATTTTCAAAATTTTATTAAAGTAGGCCAAATTTCTAAAAAAAAATTCTGAAAGTTCCATTTTTATAATTTTTTCAAGTCTGATTTAAACAATTTATTCGAATTAAAAATTTTGTCATAGTTTTTAGTTTTGATGGTCAAAAAAATTTCAGGCAATATTTAATCAAGTTTTATAGATTTTTAAATAAACAATTTTAAATTTTACAATTTAACAATTTTTAAATAACAATTTTTTTTAAATAATTGAATTTTCAAAGATTTACAATTTAAATTTTTGAAATAAATTGAACTTTAAGTGATTTTTAATTTAAAATTTTTGATGATTTATATTACTAAAAAAATTATTAGTAAGTAAAGACAAACATACAATAATTGAAAACTTTTTAAGTGAAAAAGGGTTTCAAATAGTTAAATAATTGAATTTCAAAAGATTTTGTTTTTCAAACAATAATTATAATAAAAGAAATCTCTTTTAATTTCTGTTGATGAAGAATTTATTAGAAATCACATAAAAAAATTGAATTCCAAAAGTTTTTAATTAAAAAATGCTTTCAGATAATTGAATTTTCGAAGAATATTATAAAAATCATTAAAAATAATTGAAATTTTTGCAAATAATTAAATTTCAAGTGATTTGTGTGAAGAATTGCATTAAAATTATTAAAAATAATTAATTTAGTGAAGAATTTTAGTTAAAAATTTGTTAAATAATTGAAATAAAGAAAATCTGAAGAAGATCTGCACTATATACTAAAAAAACGTATTTTGTTTAAAAATTGTTTTAAAAAAATGTAAAAAAAAAAAGTAAATAAATTAAAAAAGTTAAAAAAAAACCTCAATTTCGAAAAATTGGCGCTCTACCCTTTTTTTGTTTTGTCATTGTACTCTTCATTTGAATTTGAAAACTTTTTTTTTAAACTTAAATTAATTGTTTATAAGAAATTTTTGTTATTTTAAATTACCTTCGGACCGTATTGTTTTCGTGTGACAACTTCCGGTGCCATCCAATATGGAGTTCCCACCATCGTTGTTCTTTTACTTTGTTCAGGTGAGATTTGTGCGCAAAAGCCAAAATCAGTTAATTTCACACCGCCATCCAAACCAAGAAGAATATTATCCGATTTAATGTCCCTGTGAATAACTTGATTGCAATGAAGAAATTCAAGTGCCTGTAATACTTCACGACAAACAGCGGCAATTTGTCCCTCGTCCATACATGTTTCAGTGACAACATCCGTTAAACTACCACCAGGCAAATATTCCATAACCACCCATAATTCCTCACCAACAAGATAGCTATCCAAATAATTGACAACATTTGGATGTTTATTCTCCCGCATTACTAATATTTCATTAATAATTAATTCCTTCTTTGGCTGTTGTGAAAGATTCATTTGTTTTATTGCAACTTCCATTCCCGTTGATGTTTCAATTGCCGTGTAAACAGTGCCCGATGCGCCCTGTCCAATTTTTTCCATTTTTGTATATTTCTTTATTGGATCACCAACACTGACAATTGTTCGCAATTTTTCTAATGTTTCATCGTCTGACATTTTCTTTTTACGCGTCTTTTCACTTTGTGCCGGTCGCGATTGATCAATTGGCGTTGCTTGATTTTTATTTTTATCCAATTGTGCAGCTGGATTTTGCTGTTGTGGAGTTCCATTTCGTTGCGGTGAGCCAAGTGACGTTGGAAGTGGCGGAAGTGGTTCTTCTTCAATTGGTTTTGTATACTGTTAAAATGAATAATTAATTTCAGTTTTCTTTCTTTTTTCTTTAATAATTTCTGTCGAATTGCAATATAAGAAAAAGTATTAAAAATATTTTAATACTGCCTTAAAAAATAATATCTAATTTTTAGTACTTAATAGACTTTTAAAATTCATTTTAAGATTTTTAAAACCTCTTTCGGTATAAAATAAATTACTATAATTATTAAAAAAAAAGTCTTCGAAAATGTTTTAATGAATATTAAAATTCTAACAAATGTTAAAAATTAATCAACTGGGTTTTAAAAAAGTATTAAAATATTTTTAATACTTTTTCTTTACTTATTAAAATACCTTTTAGAAGACCAAATTTCTATTTATAGACAAACTTTTATTTTTATTGAATCTAATTTTAAAGCCGTTGAATTTTTATTTCAACGAAATTTTTTATTCAACAAAATGTCAATTTAATCGAATTTTTTACATAAGTGAATTTTTATTCAACAAAATTTCTAATTAATCAAATTTTTTTGTGGCAAAATTTCTACATCAATAAGTTTTCATTTAACTGAATTTTTTTATTTAACAAAATTGAGACTTAAACTCTTAAACTCTACTAGTTAAATAGAAATTTTGTTAAGGGAAAATTTGAATTAATAGAAATTCAAATAAAACACAATTTTGTTAAACAAGAATTTGATTTCGATTAAATAAAATTCTTTTTTGTTATGAAAATTCTCTTTAAAATTCGTTTAAATAAAAATTTGACCTTTTGAATTTCGAAGCAAGAAAAAATTCAGACGATTTTTTAAAAATATATTTACTGTATATTTTATGAAAAATGAGTTTTACTATTACTTTTTTTCAAATTTTAAATACAAAAATAATAATATATTAGAAAAAAGTCAAATTAGTCGTATTTTTAAATTATAAAAATCAAAGTAACATTAATAATTTATAATTTTTAAAATTGAATTTTGAATAAACTGAAACTTAAATCAATTAAATTTTAGATAAAAAGAAATTTGGTAAATTTAAATTTTGAATCAATTGAAATTCAGATATGTTAAAACTTAAATAAATTATAATTTTGATAAATAGAAATTCGCTAAATATGAAACATAAATCAATTAAAATTTGGACAAATTAAAAGTCGGATAATTTGAAATTTAAATTAATTAAATTTTAGATAAATTAAAATTCTGATAATTTGAAAATGAAAATAGGTAACAAATTAATAAAAATAGGTGACAAAAATTTCAAATAGTTGAAAAAAAAGGTTAATAGATGATAATCTGTGAGCCCTGCGATAAAATGAGAAAAAAAGAAAAAAATAATTGACTCACAATTGATTTCGTGCGTTCAGGTCTTGCGGAAATTGGCGGTGGTGGAGGTTCATCTTCCTGTTCAGAACTTGTGGCACAAGCATCTGTTGGTGTACTGCTTGGACTACTACTGCTTACTCTGTAATGTTATTTTATCTCAAACACAAAAACGCAAACAACAAGTTTTAACTAATGATATGATGAAAATTTGTAATCAACTCACCTGCTGAGTGAATGTTGTGAATGTGAACTTCCGGAAGCCTGTGACATCGCTTGTCCACGCATATTTCCTATTCCAACACCAATGCTCACACCAATATTCCGAGGACTGCTGGCTCTTTCTATAGGCGCTTAGAAAATATTATACTGAAGTTTAAAAGCCCGAATTTTTCCAATAATTATTATTTATTATTATTTATTTCTCGTCGTTCTGGTGCTCATTTTTTTTTTTTATTTCTTTTTCTTTTTCTACCCCGACGACGAGAATATTTTATTTATCAAAAATGACAATTTAATTAACAAAAATTAGAAATTTTAGTAATAAAAATAGACTAAATTAAATTTATTTTATTCTTTTTTCAATTTTGAATTTAAAAAAATTCAATTTCTATATTTTTTTTCCATTTTTCTTCTTTTTAAAGAGGATAAATGTAAATAATTTCCTTTTTTTTCCTCTTTACTTTTAATTTAATTTTCCTTTAGTTTCTCGAAAGTAGCATTTTTTTAAAATAAAAAATAAATTTCTGTTTTTCTTTTAAACTTTTCAGTACTTTATATAAAAATTGAATTTTCTATTTTTTAAAAGATTAAAAATTGAAAAACAGTTTTTTTTTTTTTAATGATTCACGCGGCTTACCAACAACTCCAACCATTTTTGTCGTTGTCATGAATTTAGAGCCTTTCGCTTCTTTACTGCTGTTGTCATACCAATTGAGTACATCAAGAACTGCCTGTGGATTTTTCTTTTGCTCTTGTTTGCTGATGTTGCTGGACATCAGCAGCCTTGCCCAAGCTTCCGGCATCCCCTGAGACAGAAGAAATTACTTTAGATTGCTGAACAATATATATATATATTGAGAATAGAGAAAACGAACAATAAAAAGGTTTAAAAAAGTTACACCCAAGTTCATCGACAGGTGTTAGAGCATTTATTTTAACTTATCTACACTCTGCAAAAACTCTCTGTCTCCCTCTCAATTTTTTTCAATTTTGTACTACAACAAAAGAAAAAAATTGTCAAAATTTTCATTTCAGAAAGTTACAATTACAATTTTTACCCTTTCTGAATGTCATTCAATTTCTGATAATAATAAACTTATTAGTAAGAACAATACACAAATTAATAATAATAATAATAATAATAATAATAATAATAATAATAATAATAATAATTGTAATAATACCGAAAATAATAATCATAGTAGAATTAACAAATTTTGCAAAGACAGAAAGTATTTACAGCATTATTTGAAAAGAATCAAGAAGAAAAAATTGAAACAATGTAATTTAGAAAATTCATTATTAGACAGAGAATATTGAAAGTTTTAATTTTGCAAGAGAGAAAAAATGAATATACTAATGAAATTAATATTCACAAAAAAAGAATTTTTTCGGAAATATTTCCACATCAATAAATACACAGTTTAATTTGAAAGTAATCAATATTAAAAATTATAAACTGTTACACCTAATTAATTAATTTATTTATTTATTAATAATACTAATAATAATAATAATAATAATAATAATAATAAATTTAATATTACAAGATAAAAATTCGTAAATATCAATATTGATTACATTGTTATTATTTTTAAATTAAAAATTCAATTATTTAAACACATACATATTATTATTATTTTTAATTTTATTTTCAAATATGATTTTAGACACTTTTTAAAAAGTTTTTTTCTTTGCTTTTTTTTTGTTATTTTAGTTTCAGATTCTAAAACAACTTAAAAAAAAAAAATTAAGAATAATATTTAATTTTCAAGCGTGAAAAAGTTTTTAACAAAATAACAAATTAAATCAACTTGAGAAAGAAAGCCTGAGCTCAGTAAAAAAAAAATCGTAAAAAACAAATGTGTCAAAAGTAATTCTAACTATAGAAAATAGTACCTAGTAAACATACTGAATGACAAGATATTTTTCCAATTCTAATTAGGAAAAATTCAATTACATTATTTCTTCACTTTAAAAACAAACAAACAAAAAAGAAAACTACAATTTCAGAATTTTTTTCAAAACTCTATATATATAAGAGAGAGAAAACAAATCCAATTACCTACAAAAAAATATAATTTTTTTAAATAAAATTCTAAGGGAAAAATCAATTACACTTTTGTGATTTAATTCAAGATAAATTGTCTATTGATATATTTTTTTTAAGAATGTTCGAATCATTTGTCAAAATATTAAGAGAGAGAGAGAGAGAGAGAGATTTTTAATAAAAATTAAAAATTTCTATCAAATAATTGAGACTGTTTGCATTAATTTGTTTTATTTAAAAGAAGAAAAATAAGATAAATAATAATTTAAAAAAATTATAATTGATTTTGTTTATAATAATTAAATGAGTCGAACAATCTTAATGTTAAAATTTTTTTCTAGGCATTGGCAGTTGATTTTTTCATTTTTTTTTCTTATTAAAAGCAACAAAATTACAATAAATTTCATTGAAACGCATGAATATTAAATTAAATCGAATTTCCAGTCTAATTATTGAATTTTACATAAACAAACTTCTATTGACAAATTTAAACGAATTTTAATTTAATTAATTAAAATAATTGAATTTCTATTCTGCGATAAAATTTTCATTGATCTCAATTTATATACAATCAAATTTCTATTTTAAAACTTAATAGGTACATGATATAATAAATAAATAAATAAATAATTAAAAACTAAAAAATTTTTATTTTGGAAAATTCTGTAAAATGAAAAATTGGCTAAATAAAAATTCAGAAAAATTCCATAAAATAGAAATTTTGACATTTCCAAATGAAAATTTTGTTCAATGGAAATTTATTTTTTTTTTTCTGATAAAATTGAGTAAATTAAAATGCAAATTTGTCCAACAGCAAAAAATTGATCAGTTTAAAAATTCCTCGGCTAAATAGAAATTCGCCATTGTATAAAATTCAATTTACTGGAAATTAAAATAAATTCATTTAATTAAATGTTCATGTGTCTCGATTTAAGTGTTTGTGATTATTTACTTTTTGGTGAATAAATGCAAATTTGAATAATAATGTGTTTCATTTGCAAGAAAGCGAGAAACTATAAGCGACGTTGACTTGAAGCTCATTTTGATACTTGTCTACTTTATATACAAAAGATATATAGTGAGAAAGTAGAAAAGAGATAAAGAGTGTGAGAGAGACAGATAGAGGAGAAAAAGGAAAGAAAATAATTACAACACTAAAATTCGAACCGGCAACAAAAACAAACGTTTAAAATGTATATTATAAGTGTGTTTTAAAAATAATAAAAATGCAATCAAACTAACTCTTGGGTCATTTTAATTTACTTACTTTTAACGGCAGCTTGAAAAAAATACGTGTCGAGTTAGTTTTCCCTTTGTGGTTAAAATAATAGACATAAGAAGCATCAGACAAAGTATCGACTTACTGGTATTTTTTTTTTTTTTTTTATTTAAATTTTAGACCGATTATTTTTCTTAAATGTATTATTTTATTTTTCCTCTTGTTATATATTATGGTACGGAAAATTCATTTTTTGCCATTTTCCAAAAAAAATCAATATTCTCGATAAATAGAATTTTTTTTGCTTTTTTCAGCTAAAAATGGATTACTTTAGAAATAAAAAAAAATTATCGAATACTCCGTACCACAATATATACAGCAAAGCAGCAAGCAAAATGCATTTTTAAAACTAAAGTGAAAGAATTTTGCCATTTTTTTTTTTTTTTTGTTTTCTTTTCTTTCATTCTTTTTTTCCTGCATTTAAATAAAAAATGTGAAATTATAAACGTACCGTAAATTCACCGGTCACTGCGTCAAATCCAACATGAACTGTGTGCTCGAAATTAGTTGGATAACTAATGTTAGGTTTGTCCTTATTCTCCTTCACCTTCATCTTGCTTTTCAAAGTCTTTTTCTTGCGTTCCTCTGAATCAGGTTCTTTTGGCAATGGTCGCATGTCCACTGGTAAATTAGGCGTGGACTCACCTCTAAAAAAAAAACATAAGAAAATAATAAGAAAACGTCATTCATGACATTTTGTTTTACATTGCATACAAAATAATAAAAACAAAAAATTGTATAGACAAAATTAGATTTTAAAAAAAAATGGTATTACATCTCCATTGTGTTTGAAAAAAAAACGGTAGACAAAAAAAACCCCCGAAAATAAAATAAATAATCTCTTATTGAATTTTTATTATCTTGGATGTGCAATCTTTGAGAATTTAAGATTTATGCCACTTGAAATGAAATGCAATTGAACTCGACAGGAAAAATGCATAATATATATATATATATATATATAAATAATTCAGTTATTGTAATCGATTGTCTTGTCTGCATTATAATAAATTCTCTATTGGGTATCGTGTTATAAAACGCATAGATATACTTTTTCATTAGTCCAATATCGTTTAAAACAAATCAATTGCTTAAAAATATCTCTCTCTCTCGAGATTCATTGATTTTACCAATGAAGGATTCTAATTTTTTCTCCCTCTCTTTAAAATATTAATTCGTCATAAAACGGAAGTGTCAACACAATTTTATTTTATAAACAAAGTATCAAAAAAAATTATTTCTTCTAAAAAAAAAACAAAAAGAATAAATTATATTTCTTTTCGATAAAAATTTTCTTGGCAAAAAAAAAAATTTTGATAGTAATCGCTTTGAGAAACAGTTTTTCTTTCTCTTTCTCTCTCAATTTCAGTATTGTTCAATTGAAAATTCAAAATTGTTTATTTAACACACGAAGAGTCTATAGTGTAAACTTCTTTTAAAAAGTTGAAGCATCCAAGTTTTTTATGGACAGTCTGCTTGTGAAAATATCATAGTGTCTGAACTGTGAGATTTTATTTTTAGCAACCTCTAAATTAGTGGCTGTTCCTCTATTTTCGGGAGAGAGAGAGAAAGAGAGACTCGTGGAGTCACAGTATATACTCCATATTATACAAAGAAAATAATGCATGTCTTTAAAATGAGCATACAATACATACAAAATTTTTATTAAAGATAAAAAAAAGAAGGAGAATATCTCTCGTCTTTAGAATTTTACAGCATAAATAGTGTTAAAGTTTTGCTAATCAATACCTTCAAAGATACTTATATATATGGAAACCAATTCAAATGCAAATGCACAATGTTATATAGTAGTCAGGCTAATGAACTGATTAATCAATTAAGATCAATATTTAATAAAAATAAAAATTTCTAAAGGACAAATTTTTTTTTTTTTAGTGGAAAAAAAAATATTATCTCGAAAGAAGAACTCAACTATTGGTATAGATTGATATTTTTTTTTTTTTTTTTATCTATATCTAGTATCTTGTGCTGTGATATATAATTTTCTTTTCTTCCCAAGTTTCAGAAACTTTACGTGATAAGATTGAAATTGAAGATGACGAATAATCTATTTTATTTTCTCCGTAAATATAATAACAAGAGATTTCTTTTTTTTTTTTTTTTAAGTAACATGACATCACGACTGCTCAAACTTTTGATTAATTCACAACTCTGGAACAAAAATAATAATAATAATAACAATAGTAAAAACGGAAAAATATAATTATCTTCAAAACTAATCGCAGAGAGATTTTTCACATTGAATTTTAAAAAATATAATTTGTAAATATCAATATGCGTAAAAAAAGTTGCTAAAAATTTAAGAAGCTGAAGTACGCAACTTTTATGATAAACGATTTTTTAAAAAATAATTTTTTAAAAAAAAAAAATTCTATAATTCTTTGCCGAAAAAATATTTCTTGTAGTTTTCATTAATCAACAAATTATAAAAAAAATATTTTTTAGGCAAAAAAATTATAAAATTTTTCATTTTAAAAATTATTTCTTTAAAAATCGTTTATCATTAAAGTTATGTACTACAACTTTGTTTTTTTAAAATGAAAAATTCTATAATCTTTTGTCTAAAAAATATTTTGTTATAAATTTTTTCTTTAATGAAAACTACAAAAAATATTTTTTTTAGGCAAAAAATTATAGAATTTTTCATTTTAAAAAAATTATTTCTTTAAAAATCGTTTATCATATATGCGTATTTCAGCTTCGTTGAAAATTAATGATTAGAAAAGAATTTTTTTTTTTTAAACGGAAAATTATTTTATTTCTACATTAAACAGAATTTTTTTTTTTTTTAAATCGTTGTCAACTTCAGCATCGTAAAAAAAAGAAATTGGAAAATAAAATATTTATTATACCTATACAAAGAACCTCGATGTAAAAATCAAATTATAAAATTTCGAAATCATCGAAAAAAGGAAATATAAATTTAAATTTAATTATGAAACGAAAATTTTAACGAATCACATTAAAAGACGATTTAATATTATTAAGATAAAATGAAAATATATAAGAAATAAAACAAGAATATTGACATTGGAAATGCAAAGCTATATATACGTAATTTGAAATTCGAATTTAAAAGAAACACATCTTTTTGAAAGCGCGCCAAGATTTTGGAATTTCAAATCCAGGAAATAGAAAAGAATATTTGCAATTACTTTTTTTTTTTGAACATCGATGGAGAAGATAATTTTTTTAATTTACATAAATTCTTACGTGGCTCATTAAAAAAGTTTTGTAAAAAAAAAAAAATTATAGATTTAACAAAAGCTTTTCTCTTTCAAACGTCCTGCCAAGAGTTCCTTTTAATAAAACTATATATATATATATATATATGATTTCTGATAATAATTCTTGTTTTGATTTAGAATTGACATATATCTTCATGTAAAAATCAATAAACCCTGTTCTATTTATTACAAACAATAGTCTCAGATTTTTCAAACACTGAATGCAATCTACTCCAAAAATCTTATTATAAAATATAATTTTTACATTTTTAAAGAAAAAAAAAATATATAAAATAAAAACCGAAGTATAATTTTTATAAAATAAAAAGTAAATAGATGAAAATGTAATATATGAAATAAAGTAAATAAAATAAAAAAAAATAATACAAAAATAAAATTATAAAAAAAAAGATAAAATTAATTTAGGTTAATAATATTCGTACAAAATAATTTAATTTACTCGGATGTTAAAATTTTGATTATTAAAAATAATTTACAAAAATCGAAATAAGTAAATAAAAAATAAACCGAAATTAAATAAAATATGAAGGAATATAAAGATAATTAAAAAAAAAAAATGAGCAAATAATTATTAATAAAATATTCACCTGTTCGAAGTGAGTCGCACCGGTGGTGCAGGGGGTTTGTCTTCGTCGTCGGACATGACGCCGCTCCTGATCCCGTACCCGGGTTGCTGATCTGCCCTCCGTCGCTGCGTTGCTACTGTTTTACTTTAGGCACTCGTTTACTTTTTTACGCTTTTAAAAGCGTTAATGATTATTAAATATCTAAAAATTCTACTTGTAATTCTATTATTTAAATCTTCCACTGTAATATTCCTTTAGAATCTCGTGCAAAAATTTCAGTCTCACGTGTATGTGTGTGTGTGTGTCGAAAAAAAATTCAACACAACAATCACCGGAGACGATCTTTTCTATATCAATCAAATATCGAAGACACTTGACAAAATAAAAAAAAGACAAACAAACAAAAAAAACAAGGTTAAATGATAAAAACTTGAATCACAACTTGGTTGAATCACAGCCCGTCGCTTATGAAGCGCTTGTGCCTCTTGGACGTTTTGTGTGTCAAGTCGTCTCTCTCTCTCTCTCTTTTTCAAATTTCTATTTCCATCTGATTACCAGGCATCAAATAAAACCTGCTTTCTTTTCCTTCGAATTTTGAAATTCATTCAAACATCTTGTTAATTCACTGAAGTGCAATGTGACACGGAAGTGAGAACTTTGGCAATTGACAGAAGACATGAGGGTGGGGGGAGAGGGGCGACGATAAAAATTAATCACTCATTTTTTCTCTCTCTCTCTTTCTTGGAGCAAATCTCAAATTTCGGGTCAATGTCGCAGCCTCCAAAAAATGTATGATTCAGACACCCGGTTGTATTCACGAAAAAAAATATATATATACACGGACGCAAAGCACAAAAAAAAAAATTGGAGTTGCACGCGGCACTTTTATAACTCCTTTATGCGTAAACCGTATAGACTTTTGTTGGGAGAATTTTCACAATTATTTAACGCGACGATGATGGATCATTATCATCATCCCCGTCGGCCAATCCTTGTTGAAAATCTCGTCCTGGACAAGATCCTGATCGGCTGAATCACCAGCACCCACCCGCCATCCACCGCGGTATCGTTCACGAATACAGAAGCGCCTCCTTCTCGCACTCACATACAACAACTTCCCTCTCTTCGTTTCGTTTCTTTCTTTTTTTTTTATTTTCACACTTGATTCAAGTTTTGTCTCTCTTTCACTAACGCCCACACTTTTGCCCCCACACGGAAGAGAATATCCTCCATTCCCCAACACTAATATATATATATATATGTATATATACTTCCCCGCACACACACACAAATACAAGACAATTAATTGACACCTCCAATTTTCACCGACATTTTTTTTTCGTCTCGTTTTTTTGACTGGAAAAACATAACCTAAAAATTTAGATATAGATTTAAATGAATTTTGGTACAAGTTATATGTAATTATAACGAGGAATAATTTACAAAACAAATTAATTATCCAAAATTTAATGTAATGTCTGTTTTTGTAAATGAAAATGAAATATAATAAAAGAAGTAGTTTTCTGAAAAGTATTTTTAAATTTATGCGCCTTTTCCCTTGATTCGTGGAAATTAAAATCATCCACCAATTGAAAAACTGCGATTGGAATTTTACCAATATTTTGAATTATAAAATAAAGAAAGATTTGATTAATTTAATTTACTTTAGTCATGATTAATTATTTATCTTCTTAATTAACTATTATGATAAATAATAATATAATAAAATATAAATAATTATATACAAATAAATTTAACAAAAGCAGTATTCAAAAATTTTCGGGAAAGTTGAGTCACGTGACCCTTCTTTCTAGAAAAATTTTAATAAACAAATATATAAAAAAATTAATTTATTCTCAAATACAAAGAAATGTTTTTCCTTTAATTATCTTTTTTCTTTTTTATCTAATTTTTTTAAATTTATTAAACGCAAATGTTTTTTATACCTAACCTCAAAGTTTTCCCATCAGCTGTCACAATAATTGGTCATTTCCATTGAGACACAAAAGTTAATGAACGCAGAATTGAAAGGGATTGTAAAATAGGAGAAAAAAAACAATAAAAATACTGTCAAATACAGTGAAACCTTGAATACATATATATATGTCAGATGATGGAATTTGAATAACCTCAAGAAGTGACGCGCATATATAAGTGATAGTGAAGTCAAAAAAAAAAAAAGAAAAAATCATTTGTCATTTCCAAAAATTTTGGTGAATTTTCACCAAAACAATACAAATCTTCAAGATGAAGAAAAAGGTAGGAATTATTGTCGTTTTTTTATTAAAGAAATAAGTATTTATACAATAATTGAGAGTTTTTTTCTTTTTGTTAATGAATAAATAAACAATGTGTTCGCAATTGTTGGAAACGCCTCCGTTTATGTTTTGATTGTCAATTGTTTCATATTATCAGGTACTTTTAATGGGGAAAAGCGGCTCGGGGAAGACGAGTATGAGGAGTATTATCTTCGCAAATTATATTGCAAGAGATACTCGTCGTCTTGGTGCCACAAGTAAGTTTATTTTTCTATTCTATATATGTATACATGAATCTAATTTTCTTATCAGAAAGAGAGGAATTTTTAAGTTATTTAATTACGCACATCCCACACACAGTCTGTTCCAATAAAAACGATTCTAATTGAGAATTAAATTTTTTTTGTAAAAGTTTGTCGGTTTCTGTCAAAAAAAAAAAATTTTATATTTGATTTTCGTTTTTTGTCATTATTATTTTTTTCGTTAAATAAAAATGAACATTGGAAATTTTATTTAAATTTTTCTGTAGTTATAACATAGATTAGATTCATCTTTTTTTCACCTATTTAAAATTTTGTCATCTATTTTATTTATTTAGTTACCTATTAGATTCATGAGCTCAAAGCTCTTTGGGCACAAAGTACTTAACAATAATAATAAAAGAAAATAGAAAATTTTATCAATTATAATAAAAACTAAATAACAAAAACACTATTATTTTGATAATTTGTTACGTTTTTAAAATTTTTTTTTATTCCATTAATTTGCGGATGCAATATATATTTCAAAAATAATTAAATTTAGAAAATAATAAGATTGATTTAAGCTCAGAATTATGGAAAAATAATTTATTTGTTTAAAAAGGAATTTTTGTTTAACATTCCTGAGCTTCTAATTAATTAATAGAACACAAAATTACAGATTTTTATCTTTTTTATAAATATTTCAATTGACACAAATATTAATTCATCAAAAAAAAAAAAAAAATTTCATTGATTTAGAAATTATTAAAGACAAATTTTAATACAATTTTGTAATTCTAAATTTAAATTCATTCTAATATCTAATTAATCATCAATTCAATTGTATCCAAAATTCATTTTTTCCAAACTTCAATCTTGAAATTTTAATACAATAAAAATTTTAATTTAAATAAATTTTATTCGATTCAAATTTCAATTTAACCTAAATTTTTATTCAAATATCAAGTTATTCACCTTTCTATCAGTTTTAATTTTTATTGATCTAAAATTTATACAATTAAAATTTTAATGTAATCCAAATTTAATTCATCGAAATTTAAAATTAACGAAATTTTAATCTACACTGAAAAATAAAATTTATTTGATGTAAATAATTGGTTACTTAATTTTTATCAAATAAATATTTATTTGAACTAAATAATTTTTATTTAAATCAATTTAATAATATTTGTTTTAAATACAGAAATTATTGATTCAAATACAATTTATTTAATTCAATTAAAAATTATTTTGTTCAATTAAATATTTATTTGATAATAGTCAAGTAACCAATTATTTGAATCAAATAAATTCTTTTTTTTCAGTGTATCTAAATATTAATAGATTTAAATTTTAATTTACCTTGATTTTATTTTATCAAAATTTTAATTGATTTAAGTTTCAAATTATTCAATTTTTAAATTATCGAAATTTTTATTAATTTTTGCCAATTATTTTAAATAATTCAATTTTTGCACCTATTTTAAAAAGAATGACACTGATTGTTTGTTATAGAGTAAATAAATAATAAAATTCTAAATTATATTTTAATAATTTTTGTTTCTTTAATAATAATAATAATAATTTTTTTTTTTATACAATTTACAGTTGATGTTGAGCACAGTCATGTGCGATTTCTCGGGAATTTGGTATTAAATCTTTGGGATTGCGGTGGTCAGGAAGCATTTATGGAGAATTACTTTGCCTCACAGCGAGACAATATTTTTAGGAATGTTGAAGTTTTAATATATGTTTTTGATGTTGAATCACGAGAATTGGACAAAGATATGCATTATTATCAAAGTTGTCTCGAAGCAATTTTACAAAATAGTCCAGAGGCAAAAATATTTTGTTTAGTTCACAAAATGGATTTAATTCAAGACGATCAACGTGATTTAATTTTTCGTGAACGTGAGGAAGATTTAAGGAGACTGAGCTTACCATTAGAATGTACTTGTTTTAGAACTAGCATATGGGATGAGACCCTTTACAGGTAAGAAAAAAAAAATAATAATTAATTTTTCCTTTATTATTATTATTTATTTAGTTATTTTAATATTTATTTACTTATTTATTCAGTATTTTTCACAATATATATATATGTACCTAGAATTTTATTTTTACTTTTTTAAAAGTCTACAAAGTTCAAAGTGAATGATTTTTTCGAATATTTTCTACTTTGTTTTTTAAATACTTTTGTACTTCAAAAAATGCGACTAATCAACTTTTTTAATTCGAGTAGCATTTAAAATTGAAATAAATAATTTATTTTTGATTAAGATTTTAAAAAAAGAAAATTATGAATTATTAATCAAATTATTTGATTTGGCGTGAAAATTGAGGATAATTTCAATTATTTAATTGAATAATAGTAGATTTTTACAAATTTCTTTTTCTGTGTATTATTTTTAGGAATATTAATTTTTTAATTTCTAATTTTTAGGGCATGGTCTTCCATTGTTTACATGTTGATACCAAATGTAAAAGAACTGGAACAAAGTCTTAATCAATTTGCAAATATTATCGATGCGGATGAAGTTTTACTTTTTGAACGAGCCACTTTTTTGGTAATAAGTCATTGTCAGCGAAGATTTCATCGAGACGTGCATCGATTTGAAAAAGTTTCTAATATAATAAAGCAATTTAAATTAAGTTGCAGGTATTTATTAAATGAATTATTATTAATTAAATATTTATCATATTTATAATATTATTTTTATATTTACCATTTAAAAAGAAAAATAAGTTGAATTTTAACTGGAAAAATGCAATTTACAGCAAATTGGCCGCACAGTTTCAAAGCATGGAAGTAAGAAACACAAATTTTGCAGCTTTCATTGACGTTTTTACATCGAATACTTACGTTATGGTCGTAATGTCCGATCCAGCGATTCGTACGTATAACTAATTTTTTTTTTTTTTTATTCATAATTTAATTTGACTTTACCTTTAATTTAAAAATAGCTTTAAAAACAATTTATTATTTATTTATAATTAATTATAATTTATTGTAAAATTATTTGTAATATAAATTTACAATAAATTAACTTATTTACAAAATACAAAAAAAAGTTTGAAGCAAAGTTTTTAAATTAAAATGATATTTAAAATTTTTTTTTTAATTATAAGAATTTTTATTTTAATGATATTAAATATTATTTGTGAATTATTGCAGCATCTGCAGCGACACTGATAAATATAAGGAATGCAAGGAAGCATTTTGAGAAGTTGGAACGTGCGAGTCAAAGTTCAGTCTTAAGTAGATAGAAGTCACTTCGACCCAGGCGCGTTGTCACCCGGGTCCCGACAATAAATCGACATTAAATCACAAGAACAAAGGACTGAGAATTTCTATTGTAACCGCAAATTGATCCACAATCTCACTTTCTTTCTTTTCTTTTCATTCTCCGCGCTTGGAAAAAGAAAATTTAAAAAAAAATTGCGAAAAGAACCCAGAACATGTGGAATTTGCGTCGTGAATTATTTAACATTCAGTGCAAAGCAGCGTATATATCATTAAAAAAAAAAAAAAAAAAATAGAAAAAAGCAATTAATAAAATAAGATGACTAAAAAAAATTGCGATGTTCCACTAGCTTTAGATTTTAAGGTTTTGAGCATTCGTGACAAGAGATTTTCCTTTTGGAAATGTTACTAGAAATTAATCTTGTTTCTAAAACAGATGAAATTTTTTAATAGCAAAAACATTTTCCAGAGTAAATAAATTTACAATAATATAATTACTAGTTTAAAAATAAAAAACAATAATTTCTTGTTAATTGATTTAAAAATAAATTAACAATAATTTCTTGTTGATATATAGTTAAAAAAAATTATACATTAATTTATTATAAATGAAGTTACACTAATTTGAGTTACGATAATTAGTAATATCAGATTAAAAAAAAAATAACAACTTTCCAGTAAATTGACTATAAATAGAAGACTTTTTTCAATTTTAAAGGTTCTAGTCTTTGGCTACTGCCTTTTCATGTGCGAATTCATTTTTATGAATGATTGTTTTATACACATTTAAATAAATAGACTTTCCATAAATGTATGTAGAGAAAAAAAATTGATTTATTTTCTTTTTTGTCACTTTTAGTTTTATTTTATTTTATTTTTTTTTGTAGATGAATATATTTAAAATTAGTAAAAAAAAATTGTATCATTTGTATAATGTATTTTCTCGAAACTGAACTTTTAGCGTGTCATTCTTTCTTGTAATCTCTTTAAGTATCAATAAAATAATTCCATTTTTGCTCATAATAAATTAATTAAACGAAAGAATTATGCGCTAAAAATTTAATTATAAATAACTTATAAAGTTAAGATTGATGGTTTATAAGAATTTTTGGATACTTTTTGTCACACGTGATCGTTGCGAGATAGAAGTGTATTTTTTAAATGTACTAATAAATTGATTCCCTGAGATTAAATTTTGTTTATTTAAAAATTAATTGCATCAGCACAAATTTTGTTGAATTTTAATTAATTTTTAAATTTTAATTGTTTTAATTTAAATATTAATTGCTTAAGAATATTTTTCTATATTTTATTTAAATTAAATTTTTTTTCTATATTTACCATTAATTCTCGATCTTATTTTTATAATTTTCCACTATAGAATGTTTATTTGTACATTTTCATTTTTTTTTCTATAAATAAAAATTTGATTTCTGTTTACAATTTTTTTTGTGGTTTGAGATTTAAATTTTAGCGCCAAAATGTATATTGGCAGCACTGCTATTATAGATTAATGAATAACTAATAAGCTTCTACTTATTGTCTAATGTTTAAAAAGAAAAAGATTTATAAATATAAAATTTTTTAATTAATTAATTTTAATTATTTATTTAAATATTTTGAATTTTTTCGATTTAAAAATTTTACTATAAAAATGGCGGTTTCCGGACTCTAAAAACTTCAAGTTTGTCAATTCAGTATTTCCGCTATTTTCCACTAGCGTAGTTTTGGATTCCCATCCAACTTGTATTTCTTTTTCATATTGTTGATTTTAATAATCAGGACGTTATAAATGTTATTTTAATTGTGAAAATTTCACAGAGAAACCAGAAACAATGAGTTTCTCAAGTGACGAAGTGAATTTTTTGGTGTATCGCTATCTACAAGAATCTGGTATGATTTTCCAAATCTAAAATAACCTCAAAGCTTCATTTGAGCTCTAAATCTATATATGTTTCTCTCAAGTTTTCTATTACATTTTATTCTATTTTCGATTTGTTGTGTAGATTTATTTATTTTTTGTTTTTAATTTACAATTTTTATACTTTTAACAACAACAAAATAACAATTTTTTTTTATGTAAATAAATCTTTGAAAATTTGGACATGTCAAATTGGACGCTTTTAGAGGATTTGGATAACGTTATTTTATACGATGCTTTTTGTTATTTTCGTTTCTTTTTCGTTCAATTTTGATGTTTACTTAATAATAGTTATTGGATTTTTAGTTTTTTTAATTTTCCTTTTTCATGTTTATTATTATTATTATTATTATTATTTATATTTGTGCAAAAAAAAAGTTGAACAATGTTTGATTAAAAATTAGACGCTTCTTTACGACAAAAACAGTAGAAAACAATTGTTAAGTATAAGTACTTTAATAAAATTAAAGTTTTATTCAATTTAAAGTTCAATTGTCGAAGTTTTATTTAAAGAAAAAAATTGTATTCTACTTTGACTGATAAATTATGATTATTTGTGCGATATTATGGATTCACATATAACCTCAATTAATTGGTTTTCGAAAACATTTATATTTTATGCGTTTATAATTTTAAAAACTTTTGATTAATTTTAATAAATTTACTAATTAGGCATTCTATTTCAAAACGATTTATAAATAATTAACAATGTGAGACAATTTTTAAAGTAAATATTTCTTTTATTTAATAAATCCAAATTAGTTATGTTTATTAGCATAAGTTTTGGAGGAAAAATTTCTTAACTTTATCAAATTCTTTACTACACTGTAAAAAAAAATTTGTGTCGATTTACACGCCGAATGTAAAATAACTTATTCAACAATGTTAATTTATTATGCTTTGTAAATTTATAACGTTAAACATTTTAATTTTACATTGCTGAACGTTGTGAATTCACACGGTTGTGTAATTTTACAATGTTGGACATTGGAAAGTATGGCCACATATGTATGGCCATACTTTCCAATGTCCAACATTGTAAAATTACACAACCGTGTGAATTCACAACGTTCAGCAATGTAAAATTAAAATGTTTAACGTTATAAATTTACAAAGCATAATAAATTAACATTGTTGAATAAGTTATTTTACATTCGGCGTGTAAATCGACACAAAATTTTTTTTACAGTGTATTGTCAAATTTTATAAAAACAAATGCCGCTTTGTTCAATAATAAATCTCAATTCATAAATGTTTTATTTTTTAAAAAATACCTGTGAATTTTAATAATTTTTTAAAAATTCTTTTCACCATTATAAAATTTATAAATTTTTCACACAAAACTGCTAATTAATTTTAATTTTAACAAATAAAATATTTTTTTTATTAATATTTAGAAATTGTTAATGAAAATTTTTCAGAGATTTTAAGAAAATTATTATTATTATTATTATATGAAATATTTGGTATAATGTGTCATTGTTTCGCTAAGTCATTTTCTTTTTTGATATATTTTATAATATAAATAAATTTGTACGAAAGGTCATTGTTCGTCTATGTAAATAAATAAATAATTAAAATATTTAATTGAGGTGCAATTTTTCAAAACCTAATGAATTTATTTTTGAAAATTTTTTACAAACATAATTTCTATGCATAATGCAACATACATATTATTAATAAAAATTAAAAAAAAAAAAAGGTTCAAAAATGAATTTATCAGGTTTTGTTAATTTGCTCCTCAATTACTAAGTGCTCGTACACTGTTGAAATAAATAAATAATTATATACTTAACTATTGGAGGAATTTTAAATATGACCTTTTTTGATATGATTTCAGGATTCCAACATTCAGCATGGGTATTTGGTATCGAGTCTCACATATCACAAAGCAATATAAATGGAGCTCTTGTGCCACCAGCTGCATTGTTATCCATTATTCAAAAAGGATTACAATACACCGAGGCTGAAATATCAATCACTGAAGATGGCACAGTTCAAAGAATGGTCGAATCTTTATCACTCATTGATGCAGTTATGCCCGATGTTGTTGCCTCTCGGCAAAATCAACAAAATCAACAAAAGCAACAAGTAAAAACGGAAGTTCAAGACACAAATGGAGAGGAAGGTATAGTAAACAAATTATAATTTAAAAAAAAATAAATAAATTTCAGTAGAAAATTAAAAATTTTTTAAATTAATCAAAAAAAAATAATAAATTTAAAAAAAACTAATAAATTAAAAGAATTTAATAAATTAGAAAAGTTAATAAATTAAAAAAAATTATTAAATGTAACGTAATGTTACATTTTTAATTTATTCCTGGAACACCCTGGTTTTTGAAATGTCAATTTTCTCGAACCTCCTAATCCAACCAGGAAAATTAACAGGCGACTATTGTCTCTAGATGTTTTTCGTTTTTAAAACTCGTGCTCTTTTGTTGCCTTTAAAAAAATTTCCAAATGAACTTTTCTCAGATGAGAAATTTACATTTTTTTGAAATTTAAAAAGAAAACAAGAGTGAGTTTTGAATTGTTTTTCTTTTGGAAATACGTCTATTGAACTGAAGCAAACAAATTTTTTTTTGTATTAAACTTACTTTTTCTTTTACAATTACATTTCTGATGGATAATATTTTTAGAAAATTAAAACAGGTACAATGAATTATATTTTATTTAAAATCGTTGTGGTCTATTTTTAGAAAAATTTTATAATCCGTAATAATAATAATAATTTTTTATATCGATACAATTAAGTTTTGACAATTATTTAAGAAAATTTTTTTATATTTACCTTTGAATTTTTAAATTTTAAAGATGAGTTGCACGGAAAAAAAATTAATTAGATAGGTGTAAAAATTTAATAAAAAACACAGAAAATAAAAAGAGACCAAAATATTAGGTAAAAATTAATGTAAATACTTAAATTTTAAATTAAATTTTCCTTTTCCTGATGACAAATTTGGGCGTTGGGGAACGAGTTACGTTTTATGTTCATTTAATTTTTAAAATCTGGTTCAAATAACAAATTTAAAGGATAAAATTCAATTAGTTTTGTAAAACTAAATTTTGCTATATGACTATTAATTTAAAATTTTGTTTAATACAATTAACTTCAATTTTACAAAATAGCTTACACTTTAATCTTTAAATTCGTTTTTTGAACTAAATTTTTAAAATTCATTAAACACAAAAAGTTTAACATAACATATATGCAAATTAATTTTTACCTTTTTTCCATGCAACTCATATTTAAAATTCAAATTTCAAAATAAATACAAGACATTCTCTGAGAAAAAATTGTTCAAATGAACGATATAATTTTTTTGATATTATATAAATTTGAAAAAAATTGAAGTACAATTTTATAGAATTTTTTTCAAAATTAAACCTTTTTTTCATTTTCAACCACTTTTATTCCTTGAATTTTTCTTTTTTATTATTATTGTTGGGAAATAATATACCTGAACCTATTATAAATTTAACATTAAGTTTATGGGTTTTAATTTGTCAATAGTTTTTTTAAACAATTTTTTAAGTAGTTTTCAATGCCCAAAAAGTTTAAAAAAAATTATTAAGTCCATTGTTTTTTAATTAATTAAATTTAAAAAAAATGAATGTGTAAAAGGTGTTAAAAATGAAAAATAAGTTAATTTTGGAAAAAATGGACTGAAAATTAATTTCAAAAATTCCAATTTAAAAGCTTCTAAAATTTAACTTTTTCTAAAATTTTCAATTTAATATTTTTTGAAATTTAATAATTTCAATTAAAACTCTCCTGAAATTCAATTATTTTTAATGATTTTAATAATATTCTTCGAAAATTGAACTATCTGGAAACATTTTTTATTTAAAAAGTTTTAAAATTATTGTATTTTTGTCTGAAATTTATAATAAATTTTTTAGTGAAATCATAAAAAATTTTAAATTAAAAATTACTTAAAGTTTAATTAATTTTAAAAATCTAAATTATAAATCTTTGAAAACTCAATTACTTTTAAAAAATGTTATTTAAAATTATTTAATAAATTATTTTTTAGTTCTGTAAAACTCAATTATTCTCTGAAAATTAACAAAATCTTTTGAAATTCAATTATTTTTTAAAAATTTCAACTGTAACTCTTCCAAAATTATTAATAATTAAAAAAAAATTTTATTTAAAAATCTATAAAACTTGATTAAGTATTGCCTGAAATTTTTTTGACCATTAAAACTAAAAACTATGACAAAATTTTTAATTCTAATAAATCACTTAAATCAGACTTGAAAATATTATAAAAATGGAAATTTCAGAATTTTTTTTTAGAAATTTGTCCTACTTAAATAAAATTTTGAAAATTTGTCTTACAATTTGTTCGATTCTGAAATATTCGAAATAAATTTTCTTTGATAATATTTTTATAGAATTATTCTCATTACAGAATTAATAAAATGAATTTAATATCTAATAACATTAGTTGTTTAAAGTAAAATATTCATTAACCAATTAAATTTTTTTAAAATAAAAAAAATCGACTTTCTTTGTACCTTAAAGTCGATCTGAGGCCTAAAAATGTTCAATAATTATTTAAAAACTAGACTTTTTAAAAATTTGACCACAACAGCTCTCCGACGAAAGTCAAATTATATTTTTTTATTTCATAATTATAATTTTATAGTATATATGTATTAATCATATTAATTAATAATATTAATTTAATATTTGTATTAAACTCTCTGTATAAAAGAAAAAAAAATGTTTATCGACAGTTGTTACCTCGAACGAAGGTGTTGGCGCGAACGATCGTGCCGCTGACAGATCAGAAATGGAAGTGGACGATCATCAACAGGGTGCAAGTGCAGCAGCATCGGTGAATGCAGTGGAAATTCCACCAAGTAAAGCAATGAAATTACGAGGTCATGAATCCGAGGTGTTTATATGCGCTTGGAATCCAACAATGGATTTATTGGCATCGGGCTCGGGTGATAGTACGGCACGAATTTGGGACATGTCGGATAATACGACTTCACCTAATCAACTTGTTCTTCGTCATTGTATACAAAAGGGTGGCGCTGAAGTTCCAAGCAATAAGGATGTCACGAGTTTGGATTGGAATGTAAGAGATAAATTTATTTTCATAAAAAAGAAAGAAAAAAAAAGAAATAGAATTTTTTCTTTTTAATAATTGTTCTTTTTTCTAGTGCGATGGTACCCTTTTGGCAACGGGTAGTTATGATGGTTATGCACGTATTTGGACAACAGATGGTAGATTAGCTTCAACTTTGGGTCAACATAAAGGACCAATTTTTGCATTAAAATGGAATAAAAAGGGAAATTATATTTTAAGTGCTGGCGTTGATAAAACGACAATTATTTGGGACGCTGCTAGTGGACAGTGTACACAACAATTCAGTTTTCATTGTGCTCCTGCACTTGATGTCGATTGGCAAACGAATACATCGTTTGCAAGTTGCTCGACCGATCAGTGTATTCACGTATGCAAGTTGAATGTCGATAAACCAATCAAGAGTTTTCAGGGCCACACTGTAAGTTTTTTTTAATTATTTACATATTTGTCGCCACAATTTAAGGGGGGAAAAAACATCTTTTTTTTTGTCAGGGAAATCCGGAAAATTGAACAAAAATGAAAAATATACGATGCTGAAGTTTACGTTTATAATCAGCAATTTTTAGAGAAAAATTTTTTTCAATGAAAATTTTATAAATTTTCGTCTCAATTATATTTTTTTGCAATTTTTATTGATCAACAAAGAGGCGCATGAATGTCCCTTAAAAATTATTAATAAAAATTGTTATTTTATATAATTTTATTAGAAATAATTTTTTTAGACAATTTTTCATTTTTATAATTAGCATTTGATAGATTTTCTTTTTATACGAATTTTTACATAAAATTTTTAGCTACCGAATTTGCCCGAATTCTATCAATTAAAAATTCGAATATAATTTTGAATTTCGATGAATTGAAATTTCTGTGATTTAAAAATTAAATTTGGCTTAAATTAAAATTCCTTTTTCTTATCAAAAGTCATGTATAAAAAGAAAATCTGTCAAATTTTAATTTGAAAATTCGTCTAGAAAATAATTATATTTCTAATAAAAAAAACTTTGAAATAAAAATTCTAATTAATGATTCTGATAGGATAATCATGCGCCCCTCAACAAATTCTAAAAAAACTTAGTTTTAGATAAAATTTTTTTTATAATTTTCCATATTAAAAAAAAATTATTTATTAAAGTTCAAACATTTAAAAAGGAAAAAAAATCGCGCTAAATATTCAGGAAATTTTTATTAAAAGAAACTAAATTCAAATTTTATAGGGGGAATTGAAATAATTAAAAAATTAAATTATTAAATATCAAATAATAAAAAATGAAATTAAAAAAAAATGTCGCTAGAATTTTGATATTTTAATTTAAGAATTCAATAGTTTTTTAAAAAAAATGGAATTTGTAATAATTTTTCTTTTCTCCTCTCTCTGCCTCTAGAATGAAGTGAACGCAATCAAATGGGATCCGCAGGGAAATTTATTAGCCAGTTGTTCGGATGATATGAGTTTGAAAGTGTGGTCAATGAAGCAAGACACTTGGGTACATGATTTGCAGGCGCACAGTAAAGAAATTTACACAATTAAATGGTCACCAACTGGTCCAGGAACTCGAAATCCAAATATGAATTTGACATTAGCCAGTGCTTCATTTGATTCAACAGTGAGATTGTGGGACGTTGAAAAAGGCGTGTGCACTCATACACTAACAAAACATACCGAGCCAGTATATAGTGTAGGTTTCAGTCCTGATGGTAAATTTCTTGCCAGTGGAAGCTTTGATAAATGTGTACACATTTGGTCAACGCAGGTATGTTCATTTTTCTTCATTAAATTAACCGACTATTTATTATTATTATTATTGTATTGTTATTACTTTTTTTTATTACAAATTTATTTTTTTCGTTTATTAGAAGAGTAGTAAATAAAAACACTATTTCATTTTTGCAACGTTTGACAATATCATTAGGCCTCTTTATTTAAGATGAAAAATTAACAAACTAAAATCTTACTAATGTAGAATAGAATTTTTAATTACAAATAAAAAAATTTTTTCGAAAAATTTAAAAACAAAATAAAATCTATCTGGTTCATTATTGATTAAAATAATTTTTTACATTTGTAACTCGTCATCGAAATGTTGTAAAAGTTAAATAGTGTTTTCATTTATTACTCTTTTAATAATCGAAAAAAATAAATTTATTCTACAATAACGGAAGAAACAAAATTTTATTACTATTCTTATTGTTATTACTATTCATTATTATTAATATTAGATATTAATAATAATAATATATAATAATATATTTCTTTGTTATTATTTAAAATACTATCAAGTTATAAATTCTTATTTCATATTTTCATTATTATTATTAATATTTATTTTTTATTTAATTTCTTTACATTTTTAATCAAAAAATATCACATGAAAAATATTTTGATGGAAAAAGAATTTTTATTGTTGGAATAAAATATTCCAATACAACTTAATGCACAAAAAAATTGGATAATAATAATAATAATTATTATTATTATTTCTCTATAAAAATTATTACAATTTTTTTTCTGAAAAAATTTTTGCAATATTTTCTAATCAACAAATTAAAAAAAAAAAATTAGTAAGCAAAAAATTTTATTATTTTTTCCGTGAAAAAATATATTTTTTACCTTTAATCGTTGCACGGTGCGGCAGAAGGAGGTTTAAATAAAAATGAATTGGCACTTAAACATTCTTTTTGATTATGGTTCTAAGATGAATAAAAAACTTTTCTCAATAGGTTTTAAAATCAGCTTACGTGCCCAATTTAAAATAAATTGAGTTTTAAATATTTAAAAATAGTGTTTTATGAGGAACCAGAATTTATTTAATGTATACTTATATGCGTATAGATAATAGATGTTTTAGATTTGGGTTCATATAAATTTATTAACAATGAAGTTATTTTCTTGTTTCGTTTTTATATTTATGCATTAAGAGTGTCGAACGGTATCTGAAATTCTTTGTCAAGAAGAGAGCTTTAATTATCGCTCTCAACGTGAAATAGTATTGATTTTAAAATACTTTTTTCTCGAAACACGAACACTTTTAACAAAATCAGCCAAAATCCTCATCTTATAAATTTCCTAAATTCAAAAGACTGTACGAATCCATAGAAAAACATGGTTGCAAAACAAAAAGTAGAAAAGTAATCTTTGTGCGCCCTGCATGCTGCTGCCATCTGACGGCGACAGGAGGTAATGTACCTGTCATTATATTACTTTTCGTTTTGCAATCGTGTTTTTTGTATGGATTCGTATAATCTTTAGGATTTAGGAAATTTATATAAGATAAGGATCTCTAGCTGCTTTTGTAAAAAGTGTTCGTCTTTCGAGAAGAAAGTATTTTAAAATCAATGTTTATCATTTTCACGTTTAGTGCCGTTTTTATAGAGCGATAATTAAAGGTCTCTTCTTGCCAAAAAATTTCAGAGACCATTCGACTCTCTTAAATAAATTTTGTGACTCTTAAAATCGTTCTTTTAACATTATAATTTAATTTTTTAAAATTGGACACAAACACTACAGCAATATAATTATTTATATGTAAAATTGAAAATAAGTAATTATTTTATCATTTATTACAGTATTTATTAGATTAAATAAATTCTGATTCCCCATAAAACACTGTTTTTATATAAAAACTCAATTTTATTTAAATCGGGCACGTAAACTGATTTTAAAAACTATTGAGAAATGTTTGTTATTCATCTAAGAATCATAATCAAAAAGAATTTTTAAGTGCCAATTCATTTTTATTTAAACCACCTTCTGGCGCACCGTGGTTGATCATATAATCGTTGTAAACTTCACAAGCGTGAAAATTGAAAAATAATTTATTTTTAAAAATCAATTTGTTAACATTTTTCTGAGTTTATATTAATTTAAAAGGTACAAAATTATAGATTTTCATTTTTTCCAAAATAATTCAATTGACCTAAATTTATCATCATCAAAAATTTGTCATCAATTTGAAAATTATTTACAGCAAATTTCAATAAATTAAAAATTAAATTAGTTGAAATATTTATTGATTAAAATTGTCATTGATCTAAATTTAAATTCATTCTAAATGTAATTAGCTATCAATTCAATCAAAACCAAAATTCAGTTTAATTAAATTATATTAGATTAAAATTTTAATCGATACAAATTTGAATTTAATATCTAAATTTTAATTTTAATTTCCGAAGTGATACAAATTTCAACCAGTTCTAAATTGATTAAAACAAATTTATTAATTAAAATGTATATTTTAATAGTTGAATTTTATTGTTAATGTATGTTATAATTAAAGTTGAAAATTGAATTAAAGTTGAATTAAAGTTGAATTTTTTAAATATTTGTCAAATTTGAAAAAAATGATATATTTTTTAAAAATGTACCTTTAATTATAAAATTTGATAACAATACAAATAAAATATTTTAATTATTTAAAAAAGTATTGTTTAAATTAAAAAAAATATTTTGATTAAAAAAGATTTTTTTTAAGTTGGAATAAAATATTTCATAATTATTATTACATTTTACTGCAGTAAGTTTTAAATTTAAAAAATTTCTTAATTGCTAGGTATAATAGGCTTTGTTCGTATATTTTTCAATAAATAAATAAATAATTTTTTTCTCTTTTATTGAAGAATAGAAAAAATGTACAAATGAGGGAAATTTCTTATATTAATTTTGATATTATCTATATTAATTATATATTATTAATATTAAAATGAATTGTCGATGAAAAATAATTTTCTAATTAAAGGAAACTTTTCCTCGTTAGAAATAGATTTAAATAATATTATAGTTATTTAATGAATAAAATTATTGTCTAATTGATCAAATATTGAATGCAAATAATAAGGAGTTAATTTAAATTAATTAATAATAGTAAAACAATAATATAGTAATTATAATAATATTATTATTATTATATTATTATTATATTATTGTAATGAGAAGAATTGAATTTATCATAATTTATGATTTGTAGAGCGGACAACTCGTACACAGTTATAAGGGAACTGGTGGCATTTTTGAAGTATGTTGGAATAGTCGTGGTGACAAAGTTGGAGCTTCTGCAAGTGATGGCAGTGTATTTGTGCTTGATCTTCGTAAACTGTGATTGCAATCGACCGGTTAATTTTGCTGAACATGTTATTAATTTTTTTTTTTTTTTTAATTTCAGTTCGTGAGATACAATTAATATACAATGAAATTCTATATTATTTCAAGATTTAATGCTCCAGTTGTACATATTGTACGATTTCTTTCTTGAAGAAAAAAACACTATTTTTTATTGAGTACATCCTATCAAAAGTGGTTTACTTTGACTGACGTGTTTACTTTCATTTTTGTTTCTGTTTTATTTTTATTTTTTGTCTTTATTTTTTTGATGTGGTCAAATTATATATTATAAATTGCCAAAGGCAAATTTGACTCACAATTGCCTAAAAAAATTTGTAAAACAATTTGTATTAATATTTAAAAAAAAAAATTAAAAAAAAAGAAATGGACTAATTATAGATGAAAAAAAGGGGTAAAAAAAATAATTTATAACAAACTTTGTTTGATGGGGGACAAAAAAAAAAAGAAAATTAGGAGAAATTTTTTTCTCATATAATTTGTGTTTGAATGCTACAGTAAAAATATAAGAAGAACCTTGTGAAAATTATTAGAAATAATAATGTCTGAGATTTTCAAACTGTGGTAATTTTTTACATTTATTATCGGATATTTGTTTTATATTTTATAAAAAATAGATATGTAATTCATTGTAATTTTTAATAATTGAGTATTAAGGTATATTAGATTAATAAAAATTTTTTAATGAAAGATGAATAGGATTTTTACCTAAAATTTAATTTTTAAATTAATTTTTATTATTATATATAATATTTTTTTTTTGAATGTATTTTGGATTCATTTTGTACTAAATTAGATTATTTAATTTTATTTTTAAAGAATAAATTAATTTATTTTTCTTATTTACTTCGAGATATATAGATATATGATTTTGTAGAATTCTATTGTGATTGTGCAAGTTTAATGACGAATTTTGAAATCTATTTCGATCACATATTCGCGGCTGAATAATGATTATAACACTAATGGAATGACTAATGAGAGTGATCAAATTATCTCAATCGATTTGGTGCTACGTTCACTGACTTTAGAGCTTCATAATTGTAAATTTATCAATTTCATTAAAAAAAAAAAAAAAAATTAAAAATTACATTTTTTTCGAAATAATTTTTCACTTTAACTGTCTAAAAGAAAAATATATAAATAATAAAAGATATTTTTGCTTATAAAATATAAATCAATTTGGAAAATTCTGAAAATTCGTAAATTATTTAAAATTAAATATTTTTAATATTAGATTTTTATTTTTCAACATTGATAATATATAAATAATTAAAATTTTTGAATTTGTTTAAAAGATTTAGATTTTTTCACATAAAATATAATTTATTATTATATTATTTATTTATAATTTTTTAATTTATTAATTTTAATTAATTTATAATAAAATAATAATTAGTTTTCTACTAATTTTGTTAGTTAAAAAGAAAATATCGGAATATATAATTTTTTTGTCCTACGGAAAATAAAGGGACAATAAAACAATCCGATTAAATGTTTTATTGAGAATTTATTTGTTTTTCATATTTTTAATGTACGAATTAGTGTTGTAAGTTTATTTTTTTGAGTTCAAAATATTCGCCCGTGGATTTTTTATTGGCTGAAGAAGTGAACGGTGTGAAGTTTGAGTAATCGAAATTTTTGATCAATCAACTATCGATATAAAGCTCTTCATATTTTTTCTTTGCTTGTTGCATTCCTTTTGACAGTTTTAATTGTAATAAAATATTAAATAAGTGATTAAGTGTATTTGTGTCTCAATCAGTGTTCTAATTAACTTCAGTTTTTTATTGTTAATTGTAGTTTTATAAATAAAAATATTGACTAAATTGAACATTATTTCAGGTAAGTAATATTTATGAATGAAATAAATTCTAACCTAAAATTTTCATGTTTTCATGTACAAATTTATTATTAACGATGTTAACGATATATAATCACAATATTTTTTATTTCTAATATTCATACAATTAATATCACAATAAGTTGTCTAAGTTAAAAAATAATAATTATTATTATTAAACACTGAAAACTATATAAGAAAATCGTTTGATCAATTTGGTACATATTTTTTATTTTACTGAAGAAATCGTATAAAATAATAACCCTAAAATATATTTTTTCATAAAACTGTCTTTTTAATGTTAATTTATCTAAAAATAAATAATTTGTTCCCATTTTTATTTTTTTATGAATTTAAAAATTCCCACCAAAACTTTCTGTTTGATTCATTGGCTGAGGTGAAAATAATACTTCTGCGCAACGCGAGAACCTATCCCTTCTGACGGTTACCGCCAGTCCGCCATTTGCCGTCATTTCACGGAACATGTTAGCAATAATTTTCACTGCCCAATTTTGATTATATAATTCATTAAAAAAAAGTTTACTTTTATATTAATTTGTGTTTTAAATAAGTTCACATTTCGCTGCTAATTATAATTGTATGAATAATTTTCGATCTATTAAGGATATTCCAAGGTATGTGAATAACAAGTCGCTTAATTCTAACCCCAAAAATTGTTGCATTTTTTTGTTAATTTTATTGTTTCATATATATATGTTCATATTATATGTATATTATATTATTATTATTTGTGATATGCCGAATTATATATTTTTTGAGTAAATTAACATTAAACTGAAAGTGAAATTGGTAATATAAATAGAGCAAAAAAATATTGTCTATATTATATGAATAATCGAAATTTATTCGTAAAAATTTTCACTTCACCAAGTTTATGGGTTTAAACAGAAAATTTAACTTATTGGAAATACATTTTTTAATTAAAAAATCTTAAAAAATAGAATTAAATTAAAAAATATTTATTTAAATAACTTATTGTAATTTCTTTTTACATGCAAATCTAATGTTTCTTTGTTTTTCTAATTGGAGTATTTTTTTATTTTATTTTTTTTTAATTCAAAATTTTACAATATAATTATAATCTCAACATACTATACATATGAAAAATTTCAAAGTTGAAAAAAAATTTTTCCTTTGATTGAGCTAAAATTTGGCTAATTTGTATTAAACGGTAATTTTTTCTAAAAAAAAATTTTCCGTTTGTACAAATATTTTCTGTCAAGGACAAGGTGAAATTTTTGGGCTATCGTTTATATAATGTTTTTTTCTTTAATAATAAAATAAAAAAAAATTTTCAATTTTAATTTCAATATAGTTTTTTTGACGCTATTTCGATTAGTAAAATAAATGTTTGAAAATAAAAATTTCTACCAAAAAATAATAAAAATGAAAAATAAATTTGACTTTTTTATCTGAAGAACACGATTCTTTTTTTTTGTTTATTGAAAGCTAAGGTGTTTTCCTAATAGATGAAAATTTGGGCCCAGAATGTTTAATCTTTGAAAACTAACATTTTTTCATCTTCACTGAAACAAAAAAAATTTATTTGATTAAATAATCGGCTAGTTGACTATTATCAAATAAATATTTATTTGTATCAAATAATTATTATTTGAATCAATTAAGGACGTTTATCCACGGAAATGTAGACTTCCAGAAAAAAATGATTAATTAACATTTAAATAATTAAAATAATATTATTAATTATACTTTCTAAAAGAAAAAATATCAATTTTCAAGAAAAAAATTTAAAACTTAAAAAGTTTATTCGTTTATACAATTTGTATAGGATAAAAATTTTCTCTCACATTGCTTCTACAGAATTTTTTAAAAATGATTAAATTTCAATGTAATATGGTTTATTTTCTTCAGAAAATGATTCTCTACAACTTCACCGTAGGGATTTTCAAACAAGCAAGCCATTTGGAAAATATGGCTATTTGTTTAAAATATAAATTTAGATTTTTTTAAACAAATAGCCATATTTTCCAAACGGCTTGCTTATTTAAAAATCCCTACGGTGAAGTTGAAGAGAATCATTTTCTGAAGAAAATAAACCATATTACATTGAAATTTAATCATTTTTAAAAAATTCTGTAAAAGCAATGTGACAGAAAATTTTTATCCTATGCAAATTGTATAAACAAATAAATTTTTTAAGTTTTAAATTTTTTTCTTGAAAATTGATATTTTTTCTTTCAGAAAGTACAATTAATAATATTATTTTAATTATTTAAATGTTAATTAATTATTTTTTTCTGGAGGTCTGCATTTCCTTGGAAAATCGTCCTTAAATGCTATTTATATCAAATACAGAAATTATTGGTTCAAATACAGTTTATTTAATTCAAAATAAAAATTATTTGTTTCAAGTAAATATTTATTTGATAATAATTAACCGATTATTTAAATCAAATAAATTGTTTTTTTCAGTGTATATGTTCAAATGTTTTTATTTCAATTTTTTTTTGGTAAAAAAAAATGCATTTTATTGCGTTAATTTTTTTCAGTAAAATATTTAGTTTTTTAATATAAATAAAAATTATTTTATACAATTTTATTTTATGAGACAAAAGTTTTGAACGTTCAAATGAACGAAATTTTTTTTGCAACTTCTTTAAGTACTAATTTTATTACAAAATATTTGTTTTAATTATCTAAAAAGAAGTTATTAATTTAATAATTGTTTAATTTATTGTTTTATTTTATATTGTCATCATAATTTTTAATAATTTATAGATCGAAAAAAATATTTCGTTCATTTGAACGTTCAGAACTTTTGGCTCATTTTATTTTATCGGTTCAATTAAAGTAAATTATTCTTTAATACGAATAATTTATTATTTAATGCTAATACCCACATTTAACTTATACAAATTTTTATGGCCTAGAATCTTAAATTATCGAATTTTTATTTAGCAAAATTGTATAAAGTGGATTTTATATTATGCAAAATTTTCATATCGAAGAATTTACATTTAACTAAAATTCGATTTAAGAGAATTTCTATTTAGCAGAACTCTTATAAAGAATTTTTTAAATATTTTTTTAAAAATTTTAAATTAATATAATTTCAATTTAACAAAATTTATGTCTATAAAAATTGACAAAAAAAATTAACTAAGTAGAATTTTTTTTAAATGAGAATTCTGTTAAATAAGAATTAGTTCGAATTAAAATTTTCTTTAATAAAAACTTTTTTAATTAAGAATTTTGTTAAATAGAAATTCTGTTAAATTGTGGATTTATTCAATTACAATTCTGTTAAGTAAATATTTTGATAAATCGAAATTTACTAAAATAACTATTCTGTTAAAAAAAAAT